AGTAGAACTAAGATACTTCTAGATTTACTCGAGGTATTATAGAATTCCCTAGTCTTAGGGCTATATAGTAGCCTAAATCTAGTCCTAAAAGGTTCTTCCGTTTAGCTATAATTATCTATATAAGATAGTATATCTACTAGTAGATAGATAGAGAATTATTAACTTTAATACCTCTTCTATATACTAATATACTACTAATAAATTCCGTTAAAAATCCTACCTTATACTCCCTCTTCCCTTCTATTATATAGTCTTACGTAATTCCTTAATTTCCTAAAATTCCGCTTTTACTTATATACCTTAAGAGTTCCTAAGTTTAATAGATAATCTATATATATCTTCCTCCTTTTAAGTTAGTAAACTTTAGTCTAGGGGCGAGGTTATTATAATTAAATCCTTTAGCCCTTTTAAGTTAATAAACTTTAGTCTAGGGGCGAGGTTATTATAATTAAATCCTTTAGCTTATTCTTAGATCTAAGTAAGCGTCCTCTCTTATAGGGTGCTAAGGGGTTAGGTTAGGTAGGGGTTTCTTCTTCTTCCTAAGTAAGGGTAGGAACTTAAGGGATTATAGAGTTATTATATAGGTACGGCTATATATATATATAGAATAAAAGACTTAGGGGCCGTTAATTATATTAATTATAACGTTATAACCGTTAATTAAAGCGAGTTTAAAAGGTCCTTACTAACTATCTTTTTCTCTTTAAATATAAACTTTACTTTATAGTAGGAGCGATAAAGCGTTAACGGCGGTCGGTCTATTACGCGTATAAAGGGCATCTTTAACTTTTCTTTATACTAAGAGCTAGCGTAGTATTTTTATCGCTTTCTATATTACTACTAACCTTTTAAGGGTTATAGCTAAAGGCGGCGAATTTATAGTAAGGCGAGGGTATACGCTAAAGATAAGTAAAGTTAGTATAATTCTATTAGGTCTAGCTATTTATAAGACTATATCGGCAGAAGTAAAATTACTAATTTCTATATATAGGATTTCGTACGCGCGTTAAAGAGGGGTATAATATCTTTTAACTTTTCTAATAAACTAATACGTCTTAATAAGTACTTAAGAATATTTAATCCTTATAAGTTTTACCTCTTAGCGGAACTCTATTAAAGTAAAGTTAGTCCCTATATTATATCGAATAGTATTAAGGGGTCTAAGGTATATATTAATTTAGAGGGTCTAAAGGGTCTCCTATATATCCTTAGCTAATATTAAGGGTAAGAATCTTACTCCTTAGAAAGTAGTAGCTATATCTATAATATATAGAACGGGGCATTATAGGCTTCCTAGGTATATTATATCGACGATAATTTTATAGTTAAATTCTTAGTTATCCTTAAGGGTAAATTTAAAGCGTCTTAAGGCTTATAAGTATATTTAATAGTAATAGTAAAACTTAGAAATAGTCTCTAGTATATCTATCGAAACGTCGCTATAGCTAGCTTACTTTAAAAGGTAATATAACCTAGTAACTACTAAGTATCTAAATCGTCGGTAAAGTATATAAATCTTAGTCTCTATAAGAAACGCGATTAAGTCTTTAGCCTTTAAGAGAAAGAACTAATATCCCTATTTATAGGTAATAGGGATACTTATTTTACTATTAGTATAATAATTACTATATTTAATAGTATCTATAATATTATTAAAATAGATTTTAAGACAGTCTATATTAGCTAAAGAAAGTAAGAAAGGGGTAGGAGTTTAAAGGATATAGAACGTAATCCTTCCGACTAGTATTTTAAGGGTAATAAAGGTAACTAAGTAAGTAGCTTCGCTAGTATTAAATTTAATAGTAGCTTAACTAGATATAGAGCTATTTAGGGCTATAAAGGGGTCTTTTCGCTATAAAGTAATATACTAAGAGTAACTAGCTATAGAGACTTTTACTATACCTATATTAATTATAATGCCTTAGAATTTATCCTTTAAATAATAGTTATTAATAATAAATTAAGAAGCGGGAATAGTAGTTTAATCTATTTAGTAGACGTCTTCTCTAGTAATTAAATAGTTAAACGCTTACTAATAGAGTATTTAGCTTACTTACTACTATTTAGGGTAATTATTAGTACCGTTATCGTTTTCTTCCTATATATTATTATTATTAAGGCTATCTATCTTATAACCTTTATAATCTAAAATATAGGTTATAAAGTCTATAAGTTATACTCTTATAAAGTAATAATATATAATATATTAATCCTTCGCCTTCTACTATTCTTCTACTATATATTTAGTTAACTAATAAGCTTCTTTTCTATAAATAAAGTACTTTTTATTTTAATTGCAATTAGTATAACTAAAGCTATAATTACTATAGCCTTAGGCCTATAGCTTTTACGGTTATAGCTATACCTATATCTACGATTAGGTCGTTATCCTAAGTAGCTATATCTATCTTATCCGCGGTTATTATTATATTAACGATTAAGGTAGTACTAATACTATAAATCTATATAATTAAATAATTCGCTAGTATCTTAAGTAAATTAAGAAGCTATTTAGCGGGTAAGATAGGTTTTAATAGAAGATCGAAGATCTATAAAGAGCGTCTCGATTATTTTTATAGGTTTAAAGAAGGCATATTTAAGTTTAGGTATACTATAGTATACGTTAATAAGTATTATATATAGAGGGATACCTCCTATATAGTCTTTACTAAGGGCTTATTAGTATAACTAAAGCTTATTAAAGAGTAATTAAAGTATATTATAAAGGGATTTATTAGTATTTTCGGTATAAAGCTTATTAAAAGTAATTATAGTCTAGTTAGTATAATAGTAAAAGTTAAGACGGCTTGTCCGCCTCCGGAAATGGTGGTCTTGGCCCACCACATTCGGTGGTTGCCCCATCGGGCAATCTTCGGCCCCTCCATTCCCCGCCGCTTCTGCGTCACCCATAAAAGCCCAGGTCCTGCCCAGGTATTCCTCATGTACCATGGATGTTCTTCCCTTTTTCATGTTGACTTAGTCATCTTTTTCAACTAACGCGCTGTTCCTTCGCCCATCAGTCGTTGCCACAAGACGAGAATTACCCTCGCAACTACACTTGGGGAGGTTTTGTTCTTCATCCTCGCCATATCTGCCACAAAGGCACCGGCGACTCGAAACTTTTTCTCCCTATGGGCTTGCACGATGTCGGCTGCGCGACCGGCTCGGCCACCATCCTCCTTCTTGGCCGTACAACCAACGCCCCGACATCTCGCCAAAGGAAGAGCGCGGCGGATGTGATGCAACTAGATGCACATTGGTTCGGCTGTTCAAAATTACTGAATCAGGCATGCCACATGCTATGGCCTATTTCCCTATGCGGATAAGAGTGGCCAGACACCGCGGACGCTGACTTCGTGCTTCGGTGTTAACGTTCCTCTACATATCGATTTTGCCTCTCTTGGAAATACTGGATACTCTTAAGAAGTCGAGAAGGTCCATCAATGCGAACGGACCCTGGAATGGGAAATGAGGGCGGAGTCTTGCTCACCCGCTGGTGCTTGGTGCAGGAGTAGGGAGGCCTTATCGACATTGACATCAAGTGGATGTCACAGGTCCGGCTTTGGTGGGCGGTCAGCGGATTACCCCGCAGATTACCGCCGATTACCCGCTTGCCCTTGACATCACCTCTGCCGGGTTGATGTCATCTTCGGAGCGCCATAAAGCGCGAAAGCCGGGACCGACGACGACAAAACCAGTTCGACTGGATAGCCTGCGTTTGTGCGATCAGAATGCACCCTGTCTAAGGTCCTACATCCTGTCGGTTGCGAGGTTGCGGTGATTTGAAGCATTTTCTAGCCTTGACGCGCTGGAGCTACAGCGGCGCTTAGCGGATGCATACCCTGTCTACAGGCCACTACCGCTGACTGTAGCGACGCAGCCCCTGACGGCCTGGGGCACTTTCGCCGCCAAGGTCCTCGTCATTCTATCAGACGGGTGTTCAAAATCACTGCGCCATCGACTTTTCGCTACCACCGACGTTGAATTGCCCCGACGCACTTTTGTGTCCCTTTTCGCCTTGCCTGTCCTTTCGGATGGCCTTGAACAACTTATCCAAAGAGCTGGGTCCACGTTCTTCGTCCATTTGCCTCGCCACGATATCTTCAGTTAAGCCGTCCGACTGGGCCCGCCTCCGAACCTCATCGACGATGATCTTGCGCGTGGAAAAGTAATTCTTCTCTGCAGATGGCCGCCATCGAGCACCCCAGTCTCGCTCAAGAGAATCCACAGAAGGCATTTCGCCCCAGCCCTGCCGCCAGAGACGCAGCAGCTCCTGTACAGATTTGACAGAACGGGGAGCTTGAAGCTCGGAGGTTCGCGCGGCCCAGGCGGCTCGCCATGCGCTCTTCCCTGGGCCTTGCCCTGGCCCGCTTGCACCATTCCCTGCTGCTGCTCTAGAGAGAGCGGAGCGTATGTCGGACCGCCCGCTTGCGAAGGGCCTATCTCGGACCTGAGGACCGTCTCTCGTGGAGCGCGGCGCCTCTGTTGATGAGCTCCCGCGATCTCCGCATGTTGACCTGCAGCACCTTGGCCGGGGCTGAAGGTGACGGTGTAGGTGGCCTGCGCAAACTCATCCAACTTTGTGCATAGTTCGTAAGAAGCCCCCAAAAGGTCTAGATGTCTTCGCTCAGCTAACTGCTCGGCTGCGACCTGTTGAGTCAGTACTGTGCGCAGCTTCTCCGCAACCACCGGCATCGCTTTTGAATGACCGTGGTATGGCTGTCTTCGTGGTCCCGTGTGCATGTGTCTTGAACTTTGCTGGCGAACGCTTCAAACTCAGGGCAAGAGAAGACCGGATCCTGAAAGATAGGATGGTCGGGTAGGACTCGCGAAGGAAGACAGCGTCCTGCAGGAGCACCTCTCGAAGCCACTCCAGGAGTTCCAAGAAGGCGCCGGCGGCCATGTTCTGCTCCACCCCAGATCTGAGAAAGGGCTACTGTGGGCCTCTTTCCATTTGTCGAGTTGAGGCCAGACCTGCACGAGTAGCACCACAGGCGGCCTCACGGTGGCCCGGGCACGAAATAAGACCCCGACCATTCAGGGTCAAAGTCGGCCACGGCCCTCATGAATTCGAAAGGCAGGGAAGTCAGATAGCAGCCGGTCATTTGGTCTCCGTTATTCCAACGACCGGCTCGGCGGATCTGTATAGTTCGGGTCAGCCCAGGCCAGGGGGTTGGCGGCTTGCCTAGGGCAGATGACATGCCTGGCCTTCATCCACCCCGGCCATGTCGGCGTTTTGCGTCGCCGCCACTCTAGGCGCGTGGCTGACCTTGGAGACCTTGATGCCGGCCTTCTTGTAGAACCTGGACGTCCATTCTCGGGCAGTCTGGCCCGACAACGGAGCTGTATATTCGGTGAGTGAAAGGGTCGATGCACCCTCTGAGTTATGGGATTCCGGTGAATGCCATCACGCTTACCTTGAGGCTCCTTCGCCGATCGGCGGAGCACCTTCGTTTCATACCAGTCTTCGCTTCTTTGGAAGACGGGAAACCTTTCCGCCTTTTCTACCTGCCAGCGCCAGAAAAGCCAGAACGCGAGGGCGCCGATGAGACAAGATCGCGGATCTCGATGCCGCAAAGCAGATCCATACTCCATGCGGCCGTGCTGGTTGGTCTTCCCACAGTTCATCACGACAACCAGCGCCTTTGTGGTATACCCCTGGGCCTTGAAGCCCTCGTTGGGTAAGTCCAGGGGAAAGCAGTCTGCCAACTCCATCGGCAGGCGGTTGCCGGACCGCAGCAGCATGTGGTTCCCGAGCAGAAAGTCCACCTGCGTCCTCAGGGCGCAGGCGATCTCTCTCCTCTCGGACCATGCCACGTTGGTGTGGTCGGGTATCTGCGCCGGCGCATACACATCTCTCAGAGTTCCAACTCCCCTGTCCATGTATTCCTTCCTCTTCCGGCTCCAAGTCGTTGCAAGAATGCTGCGTTTGAGCGCCTTCAGTGCCACTCCCTGTGGCCGGGCCGCAGGATTGACTCCCCGGCTCTTCTGCTCGTCGTAAAGCTTCTGTATGGCCGAGACGTAGCCCCGTACAGTATTATACTGTAGTTTGAGCGTGGACTCATACAACTCCAAGTCGGAGTCTGACTCGTATTCGCTACCTCCGCCGCCTACAACGATGGTATCTGCTGGGGGAAGCTGGGTGTTAGTATGATGGGCTGGCTCAGTCCGACGACCACATCCCGTGATCAACATCTGTTACCTGATGGTGCTCTGCGTCTTTTCACGGCCCTCTTGGCTTCCTGAGCCTCGAGGTGTCGTTTTCTTTCATCGGCGACCCTCTTTCCTTTCTTTGGAGGACGTGATGCCACTACCTCCTTCATGAAGAGCAAGAGCTTTCCTTCATCGACCAGGTCTCCCGGTAGCTGTTGGCCTGTGGTACCGAGGCCGGCCAAACGTCCGGGATCGCAGGCCAGTTGGCTTGACACCACTCCTGTGAGGCAGTCAATGCATGGATCTACATGAAGATTGCAGGGCGCGCATGCGGGCTTGCCTTCCATTCTTCCTGCTTGGGACGATAATTTCGCTTCGTATTCTTCGGCTGGGTGTTCTCCAGATCTAACAGGTAGTGCTCAATGGCCGCCCTGACCCGGGGATCCTCTATCGCGTTTGACATGGTGCAGGCGGTCGCCGTCGCGACGGTGGCAATGGAGGAGGTGGTGGAGGGTGGGAGGAGGAGGTGGAGCGCAACGCGCGTGAGCGAGACCGAAATCGAAGGTCTCGCGCAGGGCCCCGCGGGCGTGGACCTTCGATTTTGCCGTCCGATGGCGGTAATCCGACTAAGAAAACGCCCCGCAGGGCCGGGCCTTCGAAAACGACATGGTTTTGCATGGGGCGGGGCGGTAATCCGATTACCGGATGACCGGTCAGCCGGCCCCGGGACCTGTGACACCAATCGTGGTACGCAATCGCAAGGATTCTCCGAGAGAAATCGAGAGAGTGGGAACGCAGCCGGCCCCTAACGCCGACCCGAAATCACATAATCAACAGTTGACCGGGGTTTTTGGGAGACACACCAGCGTCCCATCTCTTCTCGCCTCCCGATCGACCTCTTGGGGCGGCACAGAAGCCTGCGCTGGGCAAGGTTTCCCCCGAATGGCAGGGATCTTCGTCGGTCATACACCGCCTCGACCAACGAGTGACGTGTTCTCACGCATTGATGAATGGATCGTCTCTCCAAGCTTGATTCTCATTATGCAGCGGGGGAATCATCGGCTCGCCGGTTGCGCGGCAGGGATAAATCCCTACGGACTTTTGAGCGAACGCGTTGTTGACGGTGAGTATGACGAGGCAGAACTGAAAGAGGATGGACTCGCGGTAGCCCACATCCAAGCACGAGGCCCTGACTAACAATCTTGCTCATCAGGCCAAAACACCAACAGGACTTTCCGTTCGAGCGCGCGCCCACCACCGTGGGACAGACTCCCGAATCCTCCTAGCTATGAACTAAGATACAGGAACTTTGCAGCGCCGAGCCGATCACGTTTAACCCCAAAATGTGGGAAACTGTACCGAGAAGGATCTGGGTAGGACGCAACTCATACAACATGCCCACCGTCGGCGGGGTGGCAGTTTTCCACGGCACAAATCACCTTGAAGCGTCCTGCACAGCCTGCTTTGTTGGTACTGGACCGGACCGGGTCCTGGACGATCCTCCCGCCGCTATCCCGTCGCAAAGGGGCCAGGATGGCACTGCAAAACCTGATCGGAGTGTGACTCAACCAGGCCTCCTATGGGTAAGCCCGCAGGATGCAATGGCCCTGCCTTGCGAGGGTGATGTCCATGTTCGCACCCTTGTGAAAGTGTTGGGACGTGAGCGGTCAGGGGTCCCAAGAGGGTGCAACCAGCGGCGCCGATGGATTCTGCCTTGCGAATCGGTCGGCCCGAATCTCTCGTTTCGCCGGTCCTGCCAGTCCAAGTAGCTGCAGCGCTGCAGACTCCGCCGTTGGTCGTGCGTTGCAGCTGGATTCAGGCGGGAACGGAAGGTCGATTTAGTCCCCTGTTGTTCCGAGAGCTGACCATCGTCGGAGCCAAATTTAGTAACCTTCAGGGACAGTGACAGAGGGGTTGACGGGGATGACTGATATGGAACGGTCTCGATCCTGCGGCTCCTACCTCTCGGCGATGGAATTGTTTGCAGGACGACTTGTCCGACCTCAGCTCAAAGTCCCTTGCTGCTGGGTATCTGGTTGACGCGCCGCGAGGGCAACTGCCCCCTCAATAAATAGGGAAGGCTTCCCACCTCAGCTTTCCTCTCCCCCTTTCTCATACCTTTAGTACAGACTACGCACGCATCTGGTCTCCAAACATTATGGCCGCTCCCCTGAAGTTCAAACCATATGTTCCCCTGCCGCAAAGGCAGCGAAAGAAACACCCAGATCTCGCGCCCAAGGAACGTCGTCATGATGCCACGTTACTAGAAACTTGCGGCGAAGGCCAATATTCACAGCATAATGCAGAAGGCTTGTTGACGATGAACGGTATGCCGCTGAAGGGAAATCGTACTGGAGATAAATTCCTGCTGACATTTCAAAGACCAGGAAGTCGTGATGGCACTCGATTGGTCCGGCCACAATTGGTCCGATGACATGCAGTTTGTCTCGCACCCCATGGACAGGTGTTATGCTTCCAATTCTGGTGGCGAAGAAGTCGACGAACACCTCGGCAGTGCGTTGAAGCCTGTGGCGGCTCAGCTTGCAGCGGACAATCCTCAGGCAATATCAGGTAGTCACCACCTGCCACACTGTTCATTTCGCGGGACTGACAGAATTTTATTCAGGTTCCATCGTACGGGTGGAAGATATCCAGGAGGGGGATAGCAAGGCCACTGAGAAGTCTCCAACGCTGATAGACCCAGCCGCTCCGGCAGCGGTGATGGGCCCTACGGTAGATGTTGCCGATGACAATTTGATCCAGACAGCGTTGACCTGGCCCAAAGCCGGTACTGCCAAGCAGTCGGTGGATCTTTCAAGGCTCGGTATGGACCAACTCAGAGGTCCTCACTACTCCTCTTTCCTCGCCGGGCTCGAGCGCATCTGCTCCTGCACCCGCCAATGCTGAGAGCCTCTCTGAAGAGCCCCTTAATGACGATGCGGGCTTTCAGCATTGGCTGAATGAAGGTCAACAGCACGTCATCGCACCGATATTCAACAGGACGAAGCGATTACTGGGGGACAGCCATCATGGCAGTGGCGCTGATGATCAACAGGAAACAAAACGTTTAAGGTTATCCTCCGCGGCTGAACCTCGCACTTTGCTGCATCAACCAGGTGTTTTCGATATTGCCTCGATCCCAGTCGACGATGGGATTGATTCTCAAGACCAGGGCCCTCGACTATTGGAGACTCGTCGCATCAATGGCAGTCACGACGACAATCTCGATGACAATCGATTGGCTGTGAGGGCACTTGCCCGCTATCCCACGAGCGGCTCCTATCCAACCGCGGCTCATCAGGGCGGCCTTATCAGTTCTCCTGCAAGCTTTGGCTCTGACCCTATTGCTTTCTCTTCTGCCACGACGAGTCAACCTCCCCTAGACGGCACACAGCGGTCGCTGCAAAATGGGCCCCATTCCGCAATATCGTTCCGTGGACCGCAAGAGATGGAACAATCTGGACAATGTAAATCATGCGCGATTTTTCGTGCAGCTCTTTGAAGCACTGTCCTTACTATCCAACCCATTCCCTAAGGATGTTTCGGGCAAGGCAAGGCATAGCCAACCCGTGAGCAACACCCTGAAGCGGCATTACAACTTGCGCGGAAGGTCTACGGCTCAGAGAGCAGTCGCAGAGTACCTGCCAACGGAAAGTCTCTGAGTCCTATCGACGAGAATCGCAATGGGAGTGATGATAGAATTTCTGGTAGCGACGACGAGGACGATCCTCTAATCGTCAATAGCGGTAAAGGAGGTGCTTGCCAAGCGCCGCCGGTGGTCAGCGCTAGAGGAACGTCGGCTAAGAGCATGGAAGAGGAGAACAAGTCGGAGTCCTGGATCGCTTCCAAGCTCAATCGGACGGTGTCGGCGGTCAAACAACAGTGGCGCAAAATGAGTGAGGAATAATAGTGTACCGCATCTGTAACTGTTGGTGAAATGTTATTTCAATACACATCGGAATAAGGAGGTCACACAGCTAGGTTCAAGATGCATGTTCTATTTCTAAAGGGTGCAGCCTGAAGGGGCTATTTATACACGAGGTCTTAGGGACTTCTGGGGACCTCCTGAGTAAGGTGCTCTACCCACACATACGTGGCTGTGCCCACGCATAAAGGGGTAGCCTTCCTTACTCATGAAGTCCCCATGCGTTCCTAATACATAGGCCAGGAATCCCTTCTCCAGGTCCATCCCTATCGGGGCTGCCCCAGTCCACCGACAGTAACTACTGAGGGCCAACTCGCTCCTCCTACTTACAGCATGATGGATAACATGGACAAATATTCATAGGGCGAACCAAGTAGTATTTTATATAGCTACTTCAAGCACGCTCCTATCTTACCTCTTCCCGACAAAGCCGTCGTGCAGCCAATCCCGAGCACGAAAAGGGCTGGCAGCGAGAATCCCCCGAAGCTTCAGCATCATCCTTCGATATATCTCACCTACACAACACAGCAACCAGAATCTACCCCACGGACCTCGGAAATTCACCTGCACATGCATTTTCCTGAGCACAGCCTGGGCTCCCTCGAAGCACCCTGAGCCGCCCTGAGCCGATCCTGAGCCGCCCTGAGCCGATCCTGAGCCGCCCTGGGCTGCCCTGATGACCTGAGCTGCCCTGAGCTGCCCTGAGGGCCTGAGCTGCCCTGAGCTGCCGGAATACCGCCTGAGGCCCTGGGCTGCCCTGAGTTGCCGGGAAACAGCGACAGGCTTTACCCAGCTTGCGTGCAGGGTATCGACTAAACCATTTATGACTAAGTTGCCACCATTTCTAGGACACTGATTTCACTCGTTCCCACGCCCAGTGCTGAGCGGCTGAACATTATGCTGCATGCTTGTCCGAGTTGGCGATACATGGAAGACCCATGGCTTACCCGCCTATCGAGCTTGCCAAGCTGCCGTACAGTACAGTAGTATAAGGTTTATAACATACACCGAAAACTTTTGTGCGCCAGCTTTACGTGTTAGGGCTTTGTGAAATACACTCGTTTCAGTTCGGGCTCCGTCACCACCGGCTATTGTTTTATTAGGTATCATTCGTGCCCTCCGCAAATGCCAAAGATTCCCGATGCAAGCTTTCTACCATGTCCAGATCACACAAACATTTTGCTTTAAGATACGAAATTGCAACTTGACACATTGAGGGCAGAATCACCCATAGTCTGTGCGACGCGTTGGGTGCATGACCTCAATCATGTTACCATACTTGCGCTTTGGCAAAGCTTGCTGTCCCGTGTTTCTCACGGACACTATTTAGACCTTCTGCTGATGCTATGGTCGCCGCCCTGCCGTCTAAACCGTTCACCAAGAAGTCGCTTCTTTGCATAGCGTCTAATGAGGCTAGGTGATAACTAATCATAACCTCAGTCCAGGATCTGTAATGTTCTGAGCCCCAGTTCTCATTGGGCGGAATCATTCATACATACTGATCGATATGCTAGGGACGGCTCTATTCAGACGCACACCTTGGCCGTCTCACGAGACGTGCATAAAGTGCTCGTATGTACAAAGAGCCCTCCCAGCCCAGCATCAAAATTTCGCTCTCATTTGCCTCCAAGCGGAGTCCACATATCTACATGATCCTTAACTGACTTTACTTTTGAAGCTGGATCCTTTCTCCTCACGGTAGCGAACCAGGCTAAAGGAAATATGCACATTAACATTGAAAGCCAGCTCGGACAACACAAGAGCACGTTGGCGCTCAATTTGGATCGGGGAGTTCGCGGCGGCTGGGTTGCCGGGGCCTGGTGTGTGTTTACTGTACTCACAGAATTGTCGCTCAAGGTTGCAGCATCGCTGACCGGAGACCATCATCCTTGGCGCGGGGCGCAGCAAACGGCGCCTATCAATTCTCCTTCCTCGATAGAACACCGGAGCTACGCTACTGTATCATGCCCAAATACGTCCTAGGTGTGCAGCCATATTATCCCTGCAGCATAATATCTTTCGGAACGAGGGGCTGGGGACGTAGAAGTGCATTTTGGCTGCAGTGTCGCGACTTGCAGAACGAGGACATCTAAGCTGCCTGGGTGTGGCAACCATCCCACGAGTGGGGTGAGATGCAGGAGCGTGTCACGCTGCAATACATACTAGGGGGGCCTCAAAGTCCGCCAATCCCGTGACTGTGGTGGCCGACTTTGAGGCCCCGTATTACAGTACTGTACTGCAGAGGAGCACTCATCTCGACAAAAGGTCTTACGAAGCTGAAGCATGCTGTGACTTGTAGAGCAATGGCACCCCTTGTAAGCAGCACGTCTTCCTGCAGTAGATAGAAGCGACTACTAACCTTAGTAAATGTACCATCCAGTTCAAAATGCGCTACGTCTCCTCACTCTCCTGGCAGAGACGCGCAAAGTGACGATCATTTCTGTCGGCCTCGACAAAGGCACTTTCCGGCTCTATTTGCGTGCTTCTTGACGCAGGCATCGGCTCCGAGCGCTGATGAACATTTCCATGCCGCAGACTGATTTCTCTCCTGTCAGCCTTGGCAAGGTCCTAGAAGCGGTTGTCGCGGAACGCCGGAACGCATCTCCTACACAGCGGAGGCCCGTAGCCTCCTCCCGCAAATCACCTCGGGGCGAGAAAACGTAGGTCAGCGGAGCAAGCACCCATGCTCCTGCAGGAACAGACTTACATGGTATGGCGAACTGGCAAGGTGCTCAGTCTGACCAGCTTCGATATCAAAGGCGCGTACAACGGGGTCTGCAAAGAGCGAGTGCTGGAGAGGATGAAGCGAGGGGGATACCAGATAGACTGGTGGATTGGAGGGATGCGTTCTGCTCCGGGACGGACGGCCTCAGTGGTAGTGAGCGGGCACACGTCCGAGCAACGAGTCTTGCCCCAAGCAGGTCTGCCGCAAGGATCACCATTGTCGCCAATTGCGTTGCTGTTCTTCAACGCAGACTTGGTGCAGAGACGCATCAATGCCAAAGGCGGCGTGAGGGCGTTGGTGGACGACTACTCACTCAGCCTCGGTGACGGGGCCAACGGCGGAGGCGAACCGAGAGGGCATCCAATCAATCATTGCCGAAGCGCTCCAGTGGGAAAGATGCAGCGGCGCAACGTTTGAAGCGGACAAAACGACTGTCATTCACTTCACAAGAGCAATGGAGCGCACCTGCGACACACCGTTCATGACCAAAGGACAAGAGGTCATACCGAAGAGCAGCGTGAAACTACTAGGGGTGGTCATGGGCACAAAGCCGGTCCATGGAGCAGATGGCTAGAGCGGCCGCCAAACGGCTCACGGCCGCATGTCTTTGCGAAGACTGAAGATGATATCCTGCAAATGGCGAGAAAACTGTTTGTCGCGACGGTAGCGCCAACCATGCACTCCGCCTCTAGTGTGCGGATGCACACGTGCGGCGTGAGAGAGGCGGCTTAGCTAGATAGGGCCCAGATGGTTGGGGAACAGGCTGCACGGGAGCCTCCGGCACAGTTGCAGCGGTGATAGCCGAGGCTGAGGCCGGCATCGCATCGTTTCGAGAACGGCACGGTCAAGTCGCGGCGAGGTTCTAGATCGGCCTGCGGACGCTCCCCAAGACGCATCCTCTGGCATCATCAAAGGTCAAAGCGAGCAAGCGACTCGTCTCGTCGATGCGAAGGATTGCCTCGATGATCGCGGAGTCAGACACAGAGCGAATGGAGATCATCCACGAGTACTCTCTGGCACCACGGAACGACCGCGTCGTGGGCGAGCGGGATCAGATACAGGTGGTCAAGCCAAACGACGTGGAAGGTATCGTCGTCGCCACTTCCAGCTCGCAGAGGAAGGAGGTGTCGTTCACGACACTAGCCTCAACAGCACGAGCGAGGTGCTGGCCAGCTACTCGGTCACCCTCGGATCGAGGGATGAGCAGAACCCGTACATAGCAGAAATCGCGGCAGTGGCAATGGCGCTGGCCAGCTGGACTGCGTCACCGAGATTTGACGATCATGACGAGCAACTGCTCGGTATTGGAGGTAATCAGGCGGGCACGCCAACAGTCTGGCCAGTGCACAATCCTACAGATATACGACCGCATCGATGCAACAGAGTCCGGGTGGGCGAAAAATATGCCTGTCAAACGATTGTCTACATCTTTTCGAACCCGGCACCAGAAGCCCTCATTATGCAGCTGACCAACCAGTGTTTGGATGCTGCTCTGGCCTTGATGTAGGTCTCTTCTCGTCGCCGCAATCCAATTATAAATGTCTTGTTGGCCGGCAAGAGTACTCGAATGGCTATGAAGGTATGTTATGATATCCCGAGGAGCACTACCAGACGCCACAAGATCTGAAATATTGGTAGCGTCGCGCTCTTCGAGTCGGCGATGCACTGGGTGTGCCGACGGGTCCCCGCTTGGTGAGTGGTTGTGCTCAGCGCACTCCTTGTCTGGTCGATGGCTGAGAGTCCAAGTGTGTCCATCTAGTGACTCTTTAGCTAATATTGAGAACTTGCAACCCGTTTTGCGACTAGAGGTTTGGCGTGCTCGTTCGACTGTGTCGGTCGGTGGCAGTCTGTTCCGGTCGCGGGCGCACACTATTTTGACCCTCCCATTTGGAGTCTTCTTCTCACGAAGAGAGCATGCAAGTGGGCATTGATTGTGTAACAATAGGGGTGATGTGTTGTATTTCCTTGTGTCTGCGTCCTCCTTTTCAATGCCCTCTTCTAGGCTCCCTATTTATATCCCTTGGTTCCCTATTGATATCCCCTTCTCAGTTGTATAGGTACAATATCTAGGGGCCGGGCTCCCTTTGCATACTGACTTTCCCTAGTCGCCGAGGGCTCTTTCAGCTTCACCCGTATATGCAGTCTCTCTACAGCTTGTGTGGCTGCCTAATGCGGTCTCCTAATAGCCTTCTGCAGCCTCAGAACTCTCTGCAGGCTGCCTTTCTGTCTAGCCTGTCGGGGCCCTTAGCTGTATACCCCTTATGGTCACCCTGAGCTCAAGATCTCAGACGTGCTTCGCGACACTTCTGGAGGCGGTGATGGCCGAGCGGATTTCCTTTCCGATGGAAACGTTTGGGCTGTTGCCTACTAACCGCTTTGGAGCCAGGAAGAGGGGTTCCGCAGAGCAGGCTCTCGTGCTCCTACAAGAGAACATTTACAAAACATGGCGAATGGGAAAAGTGCTTGGTCTTGTGAGCTTCGACGTAAGGGCGCATATAACGGAGTGTTCAAAACAGGCTTCTACAACGGCTCGCAGCGAGAGGCTTGGCAGATGATCCTGGATGGGTCGATCGTCGTCGAAGAAGCAGGCCTCAGGAGCTCCACGTCTAGGCATATCAGCACCGTGGAGAGCTCCTGCTAGGCCTGTACCTGTACGACTACGTATCGCTCGTCAGACTCAAACGCGATAGCAACGACGGGAGCTGTGCAGGTTGGGGAGAGGCCCCTGTCGAGGATGGGCGACCGCCAGGAAGACGTTGGGTTCAGGTGCTCAGGCGGCCGGGAAAGCAGGCCACCGTCCGCCTTCAAATACCTGAGCAGGGACTTTGCCCACGACGATGAGGATTCGTGTCATCGGGGGATTGTGCGGAAACCGTTTCGCCGGCGGATATGGGAGATCCCAATTTTTTTTCACCATTGAAAGGCAGCCGTGCAGCAGCTTGCGCTAACTTCTTTGTACCATGGGAGTTCTTCCTGTGCGAAGAAATGGGCGACATCAACAGCATCCGGGCGCGGGCGCGAAAGGCGCTGGCTCCGAGAATAGGATGTCTCATCAATAACGTGCAACTGCTTCGACGACCAGCCGAGGACGCAGAACGCGACGCCAAGCGATGGGCATCCTCCTCCGGAGATGGCCATCCGACGGTCGGACACGTGGGGACGGACGATGCGGGCGCAGAATCTACAGTGATGTATCAGTCTAACAGCATCGGAAACGCAACGCGGCTGATCGACGTTGTCCGAGGTGCAGTGGACTCGAATTAGATGGCGGCTAAGTCGCCGGAGCTCATGGCGATGATGCAACAGCTCTGTCGGTTCCAACAATCCGTGCTGTGCTCGACGGCCGAGCTGGAGCCCGCCGTGGTTACCCGAACGTGGTAGGTAGGTAGGATTTATTTCGCCCGGAGGGAGGTCCCTATAAGGCCTTTACACAGTCTAGAGTACAGTTCCGCACGTTTGTTCCTTGACTCCCAAGCCCCACAGATCATCTTACGCTGCGCCAACCGTACCACTGTTTTGCTCCATGACAGACCTGCTTGAAGGTCAATTTCTCCAAGTGTTCAGCATCCTATTCCCAGCAACTGAAGCGCGATGTGTCGAAGTTGAAGCGTGGTTGTGTTAGTCATTGATGGTGGTTGGTACGCCGATTGTGTTTTCTCATGACGCTGTTCCCTGTTGACGGGCGGGAACCCGGGTGTGCCCTGTTTCACCAGGGGTGCCTCCAGCCGGCTTCGAACCGACCCTTCTGCGACGCAGAGGCTCCAGACGTGTCACCACTACGCCATGGAGGCACCCGAACGTGGGGCGAGACGGATAAGTATGTAGGGGCGGGTATTTTCCGGGGCCGCACTACCACCGCAAAATCAGGTCAGGGCCATCAAGTCGCAGCAGATGAGTGCTTCGAAGGAGAGGGAGAGGATGATCCATGGCATACCGTTACAAGATATAACCGTGGTCCGGGAAGGCGACCGCCGCGCTGCGGCGCTGCATCGCGGAGAGTCATGGCCGGCCACGGGGAGGACGATGTCGAAATGGCGACGGCCGACTTGACTTCGATGAGACCGCAGACGACGCAGAGGCGGGAATGCAAGCCCAATTTGGCCTATCAGCCCCTTTCTCGGCGACGGGCAGAGAGTTGGCAACACGGCTGACAAAACGCAGTCGATCGCTTTCTCAATCATATGCCACCAGTTCTGCCAGTTCGTCGGCGGTTTCGAGGGCGGGACCGGTGAGTCGCAAATCATCGAGGCATTCGTTGAGTTGTTCAGTAGGTGGAGCCTTTCGAATCGTCTGCTGATCACGGCGACGTCAGGGACTGCCGCAGCGCGGATCAACAGTATCAATCCACTCCAGGTTCTCCAAAGACCAAGGGCGGCCGCGAACACGGCCAGGGATGTCGACGAGGTGCGACTGACAAGCAAGCTTTCGGATGGATTGGCAAGAGAATGACGCGCTGGTCATAGCGGAGAATTGTTGCAACCCCACGATAGAGTGATGGTGAAGCCAAGAGATTGGCGGAGTGGTTGGCATGACCGGATTACCAACTGTTGTAGAGACGAGTTGCGGGGTGTCGCTCCTACACCCTTCCGCTGCTGTCTGGTTTGGGGCAGCAATGCTACTCGGCGCCAGTTCACTTTCTGGCTGCAGTGAAGACAATGTTGCCAAATCGACCCCACGATAAGTCCTGCTTATCAAAAAGGGGTGCAGTCCTTATAGCTCAGTACTACCAAGCAGCCAGAAATGAGGGTGCTGTCAGTCGCCTAAGATAGAGGACTTGCTGCACTGTTGTGAAGCCAGAATCGGCCGCAGGTACGGTAACAGGAACCTAGGCATCCATGATCGGCGGAAGTGTCTAGGAGTGACACCCCGCGTTTTCTGTACCCAACCTTCTCCCCCGAACTTGTGCGACAGCTGGTAATTTGGCCCTACAATCATCCGCGAACCACTTGGGTTCACCAGCATTCCATTGCATCGTCTGAGAGGAGTTGGAGCCGGCCCAATCCCTCCATAGTTTTATTTTGCCACACAAGGTTCAATCCTCAGTTCCGAACCCCCTCCGGGCTGCTATACTTCCCCTCGTTGAGGCCCCACGGGCCTCCGCGGGGGACGGGACGACGAACTGGGTCTTGACGAAGCAAGGTGGCTTCAGTTCGTTCTTCGGATGTACCCCAAACGTAGAGTGACTCGACCTGAAGGATTATCAGAGTGTGTCACGACATGGTTGTCGTCCAAGGTCGCCGGGTCTTAGGTTGGCCCGTCCATCTCACCCACGCCAGCGGATGACACGACGACAGAAGAACCTTCTTCTTCCGACCTGACACCGACTCAGAGGCATGAACCTCCACGAGGTTGCACTATATGACCTCATCCATCGCCACCGAGACTGGATGGCCCACTGACAATCACCCACAGTCCCTCTCTATAGGAAGTCCCAGATTAGTACCTCCCACTCCAACTCCCAAGCCCGCAAGGTATCAGGCAAGCATGGGCTTCGACCTCCACACCGGCGAGACCAACGACCCGAAGAGTGTGCGCAACTGGTGCATCCATATGATGGCCAACATTGCCTCCATGTCCGCCATCGCCAGTAATTCGCCTAAGACTGCGCGCGCCTGAAGAGTGTTGCTAACAATTCCGCACGTACCAATGCATCCATCAGTGGGCTACGACACGTCTGTTATTTCGGACACCATGGCTCTAGACTCGTTCCGCCTCGACATTGGTCTCCTCTCAGCGTTGGGCACGTATCGTGACACTCTGTGAGGCAACATCGTGTCCACGTTCCAAACCGGGTTCTTCTTCGGCTCGCAGCTGACCTTCCCACTCGCCTAGAAAATTTGGTCGGAGAAAGGCCATCTTTGTCGCCGCGACTGTCTTCGTCACCGGCGGTGTGTTCACGACGGCGGCAACGGCTTGCTCGCCATGCTCATTGTCGGATGTGCCGTTGCCGGTCTTGGAATCAGGGCATCGCCGCTGATTGTGCCCGTGTATATTGCGGAGACGGAGATTACGTCTCAGGGAGGTGACATGCTAGGATTCTGGGTAAGACTCAGGAAAGCAAAGCACAGAGCGGCAGTGGTGATTCTGACACGTCAAAGATCAACTGCGCCTGTGACCTCCTCGTTCAAGGCCGCCCAGTGGATCGTTCCCCTTGGCCTGCGGCTCGTCCGCGGTGCCCTCCTTCTCTTGGGCATGCTGAAATGCCCGAATCGCTGCGATGGCTGGCGAACCACGACCGTTGGGAGAGGCAGAAAGTGTTCGTCGGCCTCCGCGCCCTGCCCGCCGACCCCAATACATCCGAGGCGAGCTCTCCGAGATCCACCAGTAGGTCGAGGAGCGCACGGCGAACCGCATGACGTTCCACGAGATGTTTAAGCGCCCTTCCAAAGGGGTAACCGCGTCTCCGTTGGCATGTTGCTCTTGGTATGCCAGAACTTCCCCGGCGTCAACATTATTACCTACTGTACGCTCCCGATCTCCGTCTGTGTCAGTTGTTAGTGTACGCTAGGCTGACTTGGCAGACTCACCTCGCATCTTCGAGACACTTGGCCTCGCAGGGACCATCACCAGGCTCTTCGCTGCAGGCTTATAGCCTTTGTATCTTTTCGTTCCTGCTTCTCAACGCCTTACTGCTCCGAACTGGCAGGACGTGAAGTTTCAACCAAACAAGCTACTAACTAACTATAGTGTCGCATTCAGACCCTTCCGGATCAAGACGCAATGGATGTTGACGACACGATACCTCACCGCACCGCCGTCGCGCAGGTTTCGCTTTCGTTCTTGTCAGTTAAAACTGACAGGTTGCAGTGGGTGAAAAAGGATTATTGATTGTCTGTCTAAATGATGGTAAGAAGTTTGCTTTTATACCAGTAGTGCTTTGTTTTGCCTTAGGTGGCGATGTTGCCACTTGCCACCTAGGCTGCTTAGGTGACGTTGTTATCTAGAACGTTCAACACCATCGCTTTAATCCTTAGTAATGTGACAGCGACATTATTGCGCAGTTCATCCAACAGTTCTACAAGCCCTCCGCGCAGGACCCCTGCCTGCGTTATGGCATGACGAGGCTGAGAAGCTTGGCACTTGGGCCGTTGAGCACGACGATATTCTGAGGAATTTCCTCACGACGGAGCGCAAACGAAAAGAACCTCACGCTTCTCTCCAGCGTCGTAAGGCTTTAGGAGATCGCCAATTCGGACTCGCTACTATTGCAAGGAACCGTACTTTAGCAGGGGATGAGCCCGGAGAGGACGGCGGGTTTCCTTCCCCTACTCCAAATACATCTAAAAAAAGCGGTGCCGTTGGGACCAGACACGGGTGGTGGTGGGAAACAAGGATGACACCGAGGCAAAAATCAGTAGTTGGGCCCAGCGACGGAAGCGGGCCAACGGCCTGGCCTGTCTTTATTAGGCTTATTCCACCCCATAATTCTCAGTTCCAAGAAGTGATACTAGAGACTAATTGAACGAAGGTAAATAGCCATCTGTCGGGTAAGAAATGGCAGCGATAATTTATTTGGCTTTCAAAACATTTGTTTAACGCGCTGCGCGAAAAAATGATACAAAAACGCAGGAGCCCATCGCCGAGGCAACAACTGTTGCGATTGAACTTACTTCTATTCAATTCTGTCTGACAGCTCTCAACATACATATATACATAGTGGCACGTCCGTGCCACTATCCAGTGACTCACCACTTGTAAGTGCTGCCTAAACATGTCTTGGTCCATGTCTCATATCAAGTCAACAACAACCCCGTTGATATTTTTCAAGAACTTCCTATTGTTCGGATCCTCTTAGTCATTGCTGTTGGTACAAGGCAAAGGAGCGAAGATAGGGTTGTCTCGGCATAACCTAGATATTCTATCGCACGGAGGATGAGCAAGTGAGCATAAAGATCAGGGACTGGAAGACTCTTGATTCTTCTAACTTCTATCTAGAGCGTAGCATGGGCTGCATCTTTATAGGCGATGCGAGTGAACAAACTAGAACCTGATGGAAGGTTCTGTGACTGTTAAGCTGGTGACTACTGTGCGAGTCAGGGTTTCAGTCTGTTGGAGGCTGATGTACCCTGTGTGACATATTCTATTCGGACTTGGTATCCATGCCGAAATGGCCCGATCTTCCCATCTCCTTTTCCACACTACCTGACCGAACTCATCCACGACGAGCTCTTCGGCCTCTTCCAAGGCCCGTTTGCCCCGGAGATCGTCAGTAGACGCCCAGGTTGGCTTCCAAATGACCTTATATTCGATGGATCCGTTCCATGCCTTTCGTACCTCCCCCAAGCGTAAAAAGTCGTATTCCTGAGTGGTGCAAGTCGCAATGCGCTTCTTTTGAACACGATACGAAACAGAAGCAGCAGCGCGTGGCGCAGACTTCCTCTTACGCCTGCTTCGGCGCGGCTTGGTTACCTCGGACTTTTTACAAACTGTGATCGCTTCGGGAAGCACCTGCTGCACGTGTGATGGGCACTCAGGCTCGATCATTACGTTCTCTGCAAAATACTGTAAGAACTGCAAGTGCAGGTTGTCTGCGAGAGAACTCATAATACCTTGATTTGCCAAAACGCTACGCTGATGTGTCTTAGTTTGCTCACTGACGACCCTTTCGCACTCTGAGGAAAGAGACTGAAGACGGTTGGCGTCCATTGTTGGGCCTATGGTAGGTGCTGGGGATTGCGCGAGGCATGAGGTTGTCCCCTGCATCAATGTCTCTGGGCCCGTCGAATTGACAACGGGAACGCCAAACTTGACGTCGGGGGTTTCATCAGGCTCCGAGATGGTCTGAATGGGTTCACTTGTGCTTCCTGATTTGCTGCTGGAGCCAGAGTTGCAGCTCCTTGAACTGGACGGCGAGGAGACGGGGTCGAGGACGGGAAGTTCCACGTGACTGCAGAATGGTGGGATGAGTGACCTTGACTCGGAGAGGGCCAGCGGTATGTCTTCTTCAGAGTTATCCGGTCCATCTTCACAGTGGTCACGTAGGAAACAAAGATATGGAAGAAAAGTGTTAGATGGTGAGGAATCCGGGGAATGGGGAATCCGTGACCCATTTATAGACAATCTGAGCCCCCCATGCCCTCAGCTATTGAGTAACGAGAAGAGGAAGACGGGGGCCAGCTTTGCCGAAGTCATCACTGTGACGTATCAGTGCCTCCTTCCCAAGGCGCAGCCCTTCCACCCACCTTGAGAGTCGTGGGCGGTAAGGGACAAGCTGGGGACAAGCTGGGACAAGCGGGGACAAGCCGGGGACAAGCCGGCAATGCCAACAGCCCCCTTGTCCCTTTCCACTCTCCACACTCTCTTCCCTCTCACTGGTCTGGTCACCAGCCCTCCTCTTCCTCCACGAGCATCGCTTCTCCTGCCCCGAGTTGAGTTGCATCGCAAAGCTGCAGCAGAGTAGGAGCAAGCACCCAGTCTCAGTGCGCGCCCGGGAAGCAGCTCGCCCAGGTAAGATCACCGGACCACATACCCCATAAACGTCACCTTTAGAATAGTCCGTCGTTGGGCGCCCTGGCACGAGCCGCGGCGAGAAAGCTGTGTACCCGAAACTCGTACGATTCGACATAGCCTGCGAGGTTGAGGAAGGATCATTCTACCTTCATGCGGACACTGGAACAGAGTGAACCAAAATGGTGTTCTGTTGAAGTCATGTAGGTAACAGTACAACTTGCAAGGCGCGTTCTGTCCCTGAATAATATGTCGATATGACTCGCTCGCGTAAGTCAACTTCGAGAGGGAGACGAGGGCAAAAATTGCCCATGAAACGATGTTGGTGCTCATGTACGGGTTGCTGACTTCCAAACTTCAACGCATTTCTTCCGCCTCAGTAGAGTCAACAAGCTTTACTCAACGACTCTACCTATCTCTTAGGGCGTAAGTTTGACAAGGTAGAAGAAACGACTCTCCAAGCTCTACCCCGACTATAGGGCTTCAAGTGGCCAAAGCGACTTACACTACTGTCCGCTACCCAGAGCCCGCTCAATGGGTGGTTATCGCTCTTGGGTGAAAAATGGCATACCTACGCTACGGCCGAATTATCAAAGTGTTTGATCTCTCATGTTTATCAATGGTGGAAGCTCTCATAAGCTACTAAAGCATACTAGTGTTTGTCCTTTCTGAGGCAACCTCTTCGCTTTGACAGTCTGACTTGGCTCCTGTGACTCTTGGAGGAGCACTGCCGTCTTTTTTGCCATCGCCAGACCTATTGAAATCCGAAGGCGTTCTCCTCACCGCAGGCGGATATAGCTTCTCCTGAATCGGCAATCAGCGTTGGGACTTGTCTGCGAACAGGTCCACCCACGAGGTCAATAGTAGCTGGGAAAGACGAATCGTTCGTAGAATTATAGTCATAGGTTTTAAGTTTTCGTCGCACAAGTATGTAGACGTCAGCATCATATCGACGGCTTATTTGGTGGCATCTCTTCATAATACGTGACGTCGCCCTTGAAAAATTGTCCCATGTTCTGTCTCGCTTCGATGCCGGATTCATTCCCGATATTGTAGACCGTCTAGATTTCAGAGCTTTCGCCGCCGTCTTTTCATGGATAGCGGTCTTTAAAACCTTGCTCTGCAACATTAAGTAGCCATTTGCTGCTCAAGGTCGCCATGATCTTGTCTATATGTCGGCTGTGCTCACTACCTAATGCCGTAGTACATACTGCCTGCTAAGATCTGCGTTTTTCAACACAGGTGATTTAAGCAAGTGGTCCGGGCATTCCAGGCAACACAGCCAGAATAAGCCAATGGTACATACGCAGTAACATGAATCCTGCTCTTCTTCGAAGGTATGACTTCTCACCACACGACGGCTATGCACCATTTACGCTGCTTGCAGGGCTTGTCACACAACAAGAGGCACGGACAGTATGGATGACTGAGCAACGATCGGGAAGGAGATCCTGTGAATCGGGCAACGAAAGACTCTTGATTCTCTATCTAAGTGATGGTGAAAAATTGGCTTCTTATACTTGTGATTTTGGGCTGAGTGGCGATGTTGCCACCCAGGCAGCATAGATGACGACGTCACCTAGAAGGTTCGAATCCATCACTAATATGGCATTACGAACTGCTTGCTGCCTGTTAGGCAGCACAGTGAATGAGCGTTCCGATCTTGCCGCTGCTTGTTCATTCGCTATACCATAGTTACCCCACAGTTATGCAATGTCGGTACAGCTGGGTATAATTGTGACGGTTTTGTCGGACAGTAGTGTCCCACACCTCGCACGCGACAGCGGTTGATCTTTGTGGCATCAGTCGCTTCTTGTTCTTTAGATAATTCTCATCAATTGACTAATGCCACAAAGATCAACCGCTGTCACGTGCGAGGTGTGGGCGTAAGGTTATTCCCTTGTGAACGTGGGAACTCTAATTGGAACCACGGGCGAAAGTGAAGTGGGGCTGCGATGCGCTGGCAGAGGCTGTCTCTACAGTGGTCGGGCATAAAGGAACAAGGGAAAACCACAAGCTCCTGTCGGAGGTTCTTTAGAGATCAACAATTGAATCACTGGCTCCCGTTCTTCACTCTCTGTTTCGTTGTGCTTGTGCGCCTCACAGAACCATGGGAGGAGGAGCTATTTCAAGATCAACATGTAGTACTGAGTGCAAAGTATAGCCGTATCACGCTCCGGTTTGTATCGGGCCGGCCACCATGCAGTTCTACCATATATGTTGCAGGTTTATGCGAAGCCATCGAAAGAGCACAGTTGTATTCTTGGCCGCCTCTGGTGGCAGGTTACGAAGGGCAGTATCCAACCAGCACCGAATCGAAGCGGTCACAATAAGTCACTGGCCTTCAAGCGTATACGTCGTACTGTCCTTGCTGTGTAGGCAATTCTGTCCCCAACAGGAAGTAATAGGTATGAACCGGCGAGGTTAAAAGCTGCCGAGTAAAGATTGACGAGGTTTAGAGCGGCAAGGTTTAGAGCGGCAAGGTTTAGAGCGGCAAGGTTTAGAGCGGCAAGGTTTAGAGCGGCAAGGTTTAGCGTGGCAAGGTTTAGCGTGGCAAGGTTCGACGCGGCAAGGTTTGGTTTGATGCGGCAAGGTACCACAACCAAACCCAACTGGTGCATTCGCGCTAACCTCACGTGTTGAGCAATATGTACAGTAAAGCCCGGACGACGCGATACCTGGATCACAATGTACCTTTGAAAGTGATGAAAGAGTGAGTCTATGTAGAGCAGCTTCAAGTGCATGCGCCCAGACCGCGGCGTCCGAGGTTACCTAGTAGAACGGACCAGACTTTCTGGCCGGCATGAGTGGTGCGAATCGGATGCACTAGGTACCGGTACACTGCCGCCTATTTGGAACCATGAGACACTTTTGGCAATCTCCGCATTCCAAAGTCCTTAGAGGATCATATGTAGACAGGATCTGTTCATGCTAGGGGACGTTGGCAGTCGGGGAGCCATGTACGCTATTTTCAGCGTGTTTGGGCTGCTGTGTTGCGAGACTGCAGAGAAAAATGGCCGCAATGGCCATCATTTTTAATCGTCGACAAGTATGTATCTCCTATGTACGAACGAGCTACTGTTAAGAAAACAGTAGCGCGATACTTCGATGTGGATAATATGCACCGTCTATTGACCCAAATCTGGGACAAGTTTATACTTTTCGAAGGCGGACGCTGTACCTGAACCCCTGTATGTATGTAACACCATAGCAGGCATTTCCTCCGTCTCTAGCGAACCCGACATGAAGGCATTTCAGAAGCAAATGGTTTGCCTGCTACTTTGCGCGTCCCGGCCTTGAACCGCCCATCCCTTCCTGACTCCGTCCCCTTGCGATGTGGTCAACTTAGTCACGGTTATTAATAAGTGTTGTGTGCTGCTTGCATCTGGCTTTCACCAGGCTACTGGTTGTGTGACGCTTCTTTGCTCGCATTGTGTGTCGCTGCACCCTCGGGATACTGACACCGTTCATTCTGAGATGGCCCCCGCTATGGTCTTGGCACTTGCTTTGGCGGAGTTTGTCAGTGCCCAACGCCCACTGCCGCAACCTCAAGCCCGCAGTTCAGGCCGAGAAAGGCGTTATCCGCCTGGCTCGCATGCCATGGGCGCTGGGGTGTCGAGTCGTCCGCCCTTCGAGAGAGTGAGTTCAATATCGCCATCGGCTTCTCAATGAGCAATACTGGCTGGAGCTTCTCTGTATCTGCGCAGCCCGCGGCTGGCAGACCAATATATTCCCCTCCGTCTCTGAGATTCCAATTTCGATAGTCCGGACTGCAAATGACACCTCAGGAGCAGCTTCACAGGCGTGGAGCTCGTTTGGCGGGGATGTCCAGGGCGCGAGCAGATCGACTCTACAGCCTGCTAGAACCAGGAAGCTGGATACACCGAGCCAAGAGCTGAATCCACCAGGCCGGTTTACAACTCTTACTAGCTTTACAAGGTTCGATACTCCTAGCATTATTTTTTCGCTCAGGCTGTCCGAGTCAAAAAGCCAAGAAGGTGTAGTAACAAGGGGTTATGTCAGCCCAACCCCTTCAAACGCCCGGGTTATACCGTCCACCTTTGCATTCGAGACCTCGGAGACGGGAAACCAGGTCGATTCAACAGCAGGCTTGGCAGCATCAACAGCAGCTGAAAAGCTCAACTCATTGAGACCTCCAGAGCCCTGGACTGCTTCCGGTTCGAGAACGATCATCGTCCCGAGTTCCGCCAGCCCCAAAGCCCAAATTTTCACCTGGACAGGTAGGATGGATGTGTCACATCATGAGCAAATGTCTTTGGTCCAATCAAGCGCCCCGTCATTTTCGGAAAAGTTTACTATTCCCGCCACTGTAAGCAAAGTGATTCTAGCTGACACACGAAATGTGTCGACAAACACCCTGAAACGCCCATGACCCAGCCACAGCTTTCAGCAAGCAGGAAGATGCCCACAGCTTTCACGATTAGTCGTTCCGCTACAACAGAATCGACCCGGGAGTGGTTCACAAGATCAATATCATCCGTGCTGCACTTGGATCCCAATATATCATGGCAATCAGACATTCTAAGGCCGGCTTCCATACTTCACGTCTCCTATTCTCCAACATCATCGAAGGAACGCCTCAACTCCAATATTGCAATGCAAACAACGCCTTTGGGCCTGTCTTCTGCTTTCGGTACCGCCGACCCCCAACCGTACAAATCTATATCGACGCCCTTAAAGGAGAGCCAATTTTCTCGTCGATAGTTTCAAGCTTGATTCCAGTGCTCTCAAGCGGTAGACCTATCGAAGCGGGCAATGCAACGCCCCGGCTAAGATCCACCACAACTAGTTCTTTTGCAGAATCCTTACCAACTCATGGTAGCCCTAGTGATGATGGCAACTTGGACCCTCTCGCGCCCCCTCGCAGCAGACCTTGGTCGAAGGTTAGCTCGGATTTGAAGCACCCTTATCAGATTCCGCACGGCAATTTTCAACAAGCAAAGGAGCCATACACCGGCATACCAGCCTGAGTCTCTCGAATCAGAAGCCCTCGCCTGGGGGAGGTTTCGACAAGTTTGGAACATCGCAGCCTTATCCGGTTTTCGAACCGACGCATCTGGAGATACTTGATATTAGCATCTCAACGTATTCAAATCCAATGGATTCGACTCGGCCCTCTGTTACTCCGAATTTGAGTTCAGGGTCCTCGGCTTTCGTCTTGACCGGACCCCCTTCGACACAAACATTCCAAGTGGCCAGTACAGAACTCGTGGTTCCTGATCCTCCGCCTCCCACTACATTAATCACTGAGCCGACTTGGGTTATTACACAATCCAATGCAGGAGACGGAGGTTCTCCTGGGATGCAGCCGCCGGTCATCAAGTCTCATCAAGCTGTTACTCCTGAGAACTTCTTGCCTCCAGATAGCCCTGCAGCAAAGCTCACAGTAGCCTCGTTACACTCAACAACGGATGTCCGAGCTTTGATTCAAAGCTCCGTCGACGCAAGTCCGTCCGTCGAGCGAACGACTGAATCATTTACCATGCGCACCAGTCAAGCCTTTAACGGAGTCCCTATAGATGTTACCACCATCTTGTTCGCGAGCCAAGAAGTTGTACCCTCAATCGGTCTCAAAACATCGCCGAGACCAACCTCGGCTTCGCTTGAGGCTGCAAAAGCTTTCTTTTCCAAGCCTCTCCCCACAAACCCATCTGATAGAATTTCGCCCAGCGGCCGCTATCAAACGCCTCCGCCGGAAACTGTTCCGATCCAAATAGGTTTCTATCCCTTTAAACTATACTTTTATTTCGAAGAACCTAAGCGCTGCTTCAGTTATTCTCCAACTTTTACCCGAGCTCTGGCCGCTACCAGCACGTTTCCCTCTGACACACTTCCAGTGTACGCGTTGGAGCCCTATGATACAAGAGACTCCTGGGGCTACATCACCACTGTGGCCAAAGTACATTACCCTGAAAATTTGGTAGACAAGCTCCAGATAGACTTGTGGATGCCTAGCTCGCGAGTTTATCACCACGAGGAGGATGCCGTCAATAACCTCACTGCTCTCATCAATCCGAAGATTGACGTCCGAGACAACGTCAAATCCGGCCGAGTAACGACTTACGGCGCTCTTCCCACGAGCACTAGTTTGGTTCAGAGCCACGACGCGTTTGATTCTACTGAAGCAGGAGGTCAAGGTCCGAGAGAGGGTGACATCTATCGGCATCATCACGGGCACCGTTGGTGCTAGTCTGCTTTTCAGTACCGCGCTGTTCTTGCTAATCAGCCGGCTCAGGCGCGGAAGAAATTCACCGGAGTTCCGAATTGAGAACTGCCAATCGAAGTGGTCGCAGAACGTCACATCTTGACTGCGGAGCAGCAGCAGAACTTTCAGTCGATGACGGTCTCCTTGGCCACGATGCACGGCCTCTTGGATTTGCGGGGTCACACCCGCAAAGTAAGTCTAGCAGCCAAGGAATCAAGAGTCATAGGAGGTTGATATCTGCTCCTCTTGCCGTTTCCAATTCACTTGGATGGGTCAACGAGTCTGAAGCGAGTGTAGATACAAAGACGTCACATAAGATGCATATTGAGCGACACACGTAGGGTTATTGATAATCTGTAGCAAGACGAGATTGGAACAGAGTCGTTAATGCACGGGATGGCTCCGGACAGACAGGTTCCGACAGACATATTGCAGGGATTATCGCGCTAAGCATGGGTTAAAAGCCATCGCGCCTTGACTACAACCTGAACGGGCACAAGTGCCATTTTCAGTCTGAAGGAAATCCACTAAGGATTTTCCGATGATCTGCCGGATCTGGTGATCTGCCGGATTGCGGCGACTTCGCACGCTCAACATCAATCGACAATAGCTCAACAACAACGGTGCCAATTGACGTATCCTTTGATTTCCTGAATCATCAGAAGCAGTGAAAGTCTGGCATATATTTAGAACTTTTATCTAGGGGCAATGCGCTGCGGTGCTGACATCAAACCAAGCAACGGCCAAAATAGGATGCCGACAGATTGTGTAAGTCATTTCAGCCAATACAGCAAAACAGAACATTATTGGCTTTCATCGTAGGCTTTAATCATGTGGGATTCTCCCCATTCTATCCATAGTGCAGAACTTGGCTCAGGATACTGCAAAAATGGGGTTGGAAGGGCGAGCTGGATAACTTCATTCTACGCACCCGTAATGAGCCAGATTGAACGTGATTCGACGGTACAAGCATCTTCTGAAAGAACCTATCTATGCATCTGAATGTAAGGTTTATTTTTAGCTTGAAATTCAGTGCGCGAGGCTCCGCTTTCACACCTGACAAGGAAAGACGTGCACGAAAATTGAGAAATTCGACACCCTACCCTAAAACACGTATAACATGGATGAAATGGGCTTTCTATTCCTTATGAGCATTTGAACGAACAGGGTATTTCTTATTATAAGAAAACAAGGCAAAATTGCTCGGCGTATTAAAATGGCAACCCATCCTCCCTTACGTTCAAGATGTGCGTCAGTCAAGAGATGGCATCGCTGCCCCATTTCTCATCCACCAAGACAAGCCAGCACAAACTCTGGACTTTTGGTTCGTGAAACGTGAATCAAGTCGTCAATAAATATTTTTAACACGTCAAAAACGAGGTGGACGAATCACAATATTGAAATGAGCAGCTCACCGGTACGTTCGACCGGTTTACCAGGGTGAAAGCTCGAAACGGTTGTGCTTATCGCCTTTGGTTCCCGATGGCCACTTAACCATTTTAGTATCGAATTTATGGAGTGGTGTGACCGGCACCGAGTGATCGTTGTGGTGTTTCCCCTCAATCCATTCATCGGCTGCAACCCTTGATGTATCGTTATTCAGCCTCTCTCAACAGCGTATACGCATGATCTTATCCAGTACACAGACAAATCAAAAGGTTCATTGGATTGCTGAAATCGAAGATCTAGACTGTGTTTTGGAACGCATTTCAGGAAGTAGTCGAGAAGTCCTCTGTTGATGCTGGCCGCAACAGCCGAAGGCTGAGTAGCACCCTCGAAAGCCCTCAATATGAGTTTTAAGTGCTTGATATGAGAGTTAAAGTATGCAGAGAACAAGTAGTCACAAGAACCAGCGCAGGCAGACCGGTAAGGCTTCAAAGATGATCTCTTCTGCTGTACAGATTCTAGTGCAGACGAGGTGTTTAGCTCTAAAATTGTGGCTCAAGCTCGCCAAAAAATGACAGTGAAAGGACTCCAAAAGAAAGAGGAGGCTCTGAAGAAGGAGGCCCGAAAGCTTCAGCGACAGCAGAAGGCAGCGGAGCAAAAGCTCTCGCTCTAGAGAAGAGGAAGCAATGAGAGGCGGAAATTGGGAGAAAACGACGGATGACGGAGGCCGTGAAGCAAAATAAGGAGATAAATTGGCATTATTAACAAGAGCTGAAGATTTTGAAAGTGGAAAAGCCACAGAAAATGCAGAATGAGCGACGGGTGGCTTCTGAGGGTCGCGAGAGGAGTCAGGATGTTCACGCTGCAAAAATTGTCACTCTTCCGTTCACACCAGAGCGGGCCATAGCATTGCAGGTACCAAACACACTATATAATAACGCAAATAATAAGGCAATGATAACTTCAAACGACATATCCTGTCCTCAAAGGCCCTCTTTAGCTGTTGATAGTGATCGGGAGGCAATGGGTGCATTTCGGGGACTTGCGCGATCGGAGAGTAACAGAAGACGACCTCGATGGCTGGATGACTTCAAAAAGATTGAGTGGCATCTTTGAGCATTATTAACTGCTCTTATAAGATTTTAGAACAATTCAAATAGTATTCGTGAAGTTATTCTCAGTTCTTTGCTGGAATGCAATGAGCCCAAAATCCGGCGAATCGCCAGATCCGGCAGATCACCGGAAAATCCCTTAGTATACAATCCTGGGTAGGCCGCTGTTGCAGTTCCAACTGCGTTTCATCCTCCTTGGAAGCCTTCCGCTTCTTGCACCGCGGCTTAGGCATATCGGGTTCCTCACCCTTTCGGGCCTTTCCCGCTCTATCTGGAGACTTCCCAGTAGCAGTCGTCGCCTTCTCTATATCCTTCGTGCTCCGTGTTCGACTACGTCTCGTTTCCCGAAGAAGCTGTGGCGAAGTTGCTAAAGGAGAGGACGGGGTCGAGGAAGGGTCAGGAAGCTGATCAACTCCCTTCAGCAAATCCGAAGTGGCTCGGTCCGCTCGAGCGGCAGTATGCTCTGCGGCCTCACGGCCGGTCATGGATCGCCTTTTCGTGCTACCGTGCGATTTGAACCTCTTCAAGCCAGGCGAATGCAGTGCTTCCGGCAATTCCGGAGGCAGGAGGGCTCTTGACTGTACCTGCGCCTGGAAATCTGCTATTAGACGGTCATTCTGTAGGCGAAAGAGTCTCGAGAACTCCTCTGCCTGCTGTCCGCCGAGGCTCCCTGTACTTGAACGACCTCCAATCCCGATTGAAGAACCATGTTCCTACCGCCATCTTGGTAACGATCCCCTGGATTTTTTGTGACCTCGGGAGCTGGCTGCTTTGCATAAGACATGGTCCAGCTGCGTACCACCGCAGGTCCGTCGAGTAACCGGCGTGGATGAAGGACATTGAGTGGGACATTGAGTGGGACAGGCCAGGACCTGACAACAGCCTCGTACAGCCAGTGTCGACAGGGCAGGCCGTATCTGAGTGGGAACTCACACGCGAAGGGACATCCAGGTTCGTTGAGAAGGCCCAATACCTTACCGCTCCTTCTCGAGCTCAGTGTTTTGCCTCCATCTTAGAGCTTTTGCTGCCTCCCACTCCGGAGCTAGCTTGCTTAGAACGTAGTGTGGAACCTTCCCGATAAGAAGGCGGAAAGCAGCTCGGTCCAACAGCCTTGGGACGTCAGCCCTGCTCCGATCCTCGTCTTCAGTGATTTTTTGAGTTAATTTCTTCAAGCTTTCGGCCAGTTTTTGACAGGATGCCTGCAGGGGAAGCTGCCTGTTCAGAGACTGTTTGACCACGACATGGTAGCTTTCGTTCCTCTGCGTGCTGTTACATCCGAGGTTCGGGTACTGTCGTGTGTGTGCTCGGACAAATTGGCGCTCTTTCGGTTGCCAATTATTCTTGAGATAAAGGCGTTCCGGCTCCCGAATTTCTGCGAGCAGCTCGCCTCGCCGTTCTTCAAGTCGCGCCTCATCGGGAGCTTGTATGTAATCCCAAACAAACCGAAGTAGCTCTTCCCTTCGTTCCTTCGTATATTTGCCCGAGTCTAACAATCGCTTCTTGAAGTTCTCTGCGGCATGCCATTCACAGAGCTGCAATATTTGCCCATCTTCACCCTGAGGATCAGCTCGCTTGGGACGCCGCCATCGCGGCAGCGAGCCCTTTGGTTTGATCCCCGAGAACGACTTGAGGTGGTGGGCAATCGTACCAGACCAGTTCTGCCAATTGAGCATTCACAAATTCGAAGGCTTCAGCTGATTCAGATGTTATAAAGGCGAAAGCCAGAGGAAATGTCTTGCCTGTGTTTGTGATTCCCACTATGACAGATAAAGGCAGGTGGAGGCAATTGGTGTTGAACGTCGCATCGGTTTGCATGAGGAATCCGCTGACGAATCTTCTACCCAGGCGGATCTGCTCGGAAGAACAGAAGAACAGGTGCTCGAGTACTCGCGCTGTCCGTCGTCCTTGGTCGTCAAGAAGGTATTTGAAGAAGCAACGAACACGGAAGTCCTCGAACTCCAAACAAGTGAGCAAGACGTCAAGCGCTTCTTGACTGCTGCGTCTCCTTCAGACCGGCTCAGGTTGTAGAACTCCTTTGCAGAAAGACAGTTGCCTAAGCCGTGTTGGTCGAGAATCCGGGTTGATTCAGTTGCTGACAGGCCGGCAGTCCGATGCGCGAGGGCCAGATCGACTGCCGCAGCCCGCTCTGGGATACGGGATCTATGGCAGGCGTAGTGGAAGGGATTTTGAAGTGGCGGATGCGTATGGTACGCGTAAGTGAAACCGACCACCCAGCCTTTTCGCTCTTCTATCCTCCGCGGCCGCTCCGGATAGTTTTGTAGGAGACATAAAGACTATAAGGACACTCCTTGGCCTTGGTGTACGTAAGCTCCTTCTTTCGGTCCCCTCCCTCTGTGACGATGTCCGGCAGCTTTCGAGTATTTCGGGTACCTCTACCGTGATGGATACAATTCACTCGCAGGCGGTCGCGTACCTTGCTGGCAGTGACCAGAGCGAAACCCTGGGTGAATGCATAGTTTTGGAACCAGTGAAGGGCTTCCTCGGGGCTGTTCACTTCGTCACCGGTAACAGGAGCGCGGAGATGCTCTTGCGGTAGGGCTTCTACAGCTTTGTCGAAGCCGGAGCGGACATCATCGGGAGGCTGTCGCGGTACTGGATCTCCATCGCGTTCGCGTTCGCGTCGGACGAGATGCTGGATCTCCATTGAACCTGAACAACGCGATTCTTATTGCGACGCGCACCCTAGCAAGGGCGATGAACGATTATTCCCGTTCAGGTTGTAGTCAAGGCGCGATGGCTTTTAACCCATGCTTAGCGCGATAATCCCTGCAATATGTCTGTCTGAACCTGTCTGTCCGGAGCCATCCCGCCTATACGACATACCTATCCTTTAGGCAATTGCTACACCGGCATGAACAAATGGCTACACCGGCATGACTCTTATACCGGCATGACTTTTACAGCCTCTGATTCGCTCCATTCGTTCCTTGATCCACAGGTACATCCGCGTGAAGGCGGTGAAGCCAAATCTCTTAACAAGGCCCCATCTTCAACTGAGGCGAGCCGCGAGCACTAAAATGAAGTCTAGTTTGCAACACGAAATAATGTCAATTCTAGTCCACCCTTAGGGACAGCTATCTACGTCTCTATTATCTAACTACTATAGAAGGAAGAGCCTCCTCGTCGCTGTTAAGCAGCTCCCACTCACTTCTTCGCCTGCCGCTGCTGGCCAATGCTCGTCCCTATGCTACTAGACGAAGGTGGTCTTGAACTATCAGACTGGTTCTGCCGCTGTCGTTTTCGAGGGCGTGATTGGTAGCTCCGTCGTCGTCGGTTTCTTACCGAGTTAGATCCAAAGCCAGGTTGGGACATAACTAATGCCGAATTGGCGGTCTTGATCGCGATAGGAAAAGTGTCGCACGCACGGAGCAGAACATGGTTAACAGGGCAGTCGATTCGACGATGAAAGAGAGAAAGAGGGGGACTACTTCAGTACAAGGGAAAGAGCTGGTTTGTGGTGCAGATAGCCTTGAAAACGAGGCTGTGGCGATGTCTGATACAGCTTGTGTTTGAGTGTTGGTCTCAGCAAGGAGTCCGAAACACTACTGCTCCTGCAGTCCTGTGGCTTTGCAAAGTCGGGAACAATTATTCTCAGTAGGCTTCGCAACGAAGGAGTAATTAGCGTGATAGCTGGCTGGCGAAGATGCGTGGCGTCGCAATTTGCAGAGTAAAGCCCCGGGGTACAACGGGAGCTGTTGGCAGAATCCAAATGCACTAACAACAAGGGATAGACCAATCAGAGGCCGTAAAAGTCATGCCGGTGTAAGAGTCATGCCGGTGTAGCCATTTGTTCATGCCGGTGTAGCAATTGCCATCCTTTAACCCTAAATTGCCCTTTGCCTTGAGAAGTTGAACACTTTTACTAAATTTAAAACTTCTCATTGGAAACCTAATGCTTGGATTAAGAAAATGTTTGCCAATGCGAGTATCATCAATCGATACATTGTGTGTGTTGCGAAGAACGTCTCTTGGTCGAGTTAGCCAGGTCACCCATGGGCAGCTACGCCAACAAGGAGCTGACAACCGCGTCTAACGAGGAGGCTGAAAGCTCCTATTAAAGACTGGAACGTCTCCAGTCGAGAGGCTGGGGCCCCAGCCTGCCTTAACCATATACATATACTACGAGTTTAGGACAGAAAGAGAGGAAGACAGAGACACGAAATACGATGCAACTACCCCATTACTACATCATATGCCTTTTCTGCAAAGTTTCTTTGTGAGTGTGCACCACTGTGCGAAGGGTCTGAAAACGTCCGAGAAAGTAAGAATCCAGGATTACAAAGTCCGGAAAACAAAGGGGTACCATGCTTACCCCCTTCTGCTCACCCCTTATGCTCCGCCAAATGAGACAAACCTCACCCAAAATCTGATTTTTGAACTGCTCATATTTCGGCGAACTATGTACATATAAATATAAAAGATACATCATTTGAATGAGAATTGAACACACTAATTGGTTCTTGGTCTTTTTATGACGCGACCCTGTCGCGTGGTGCGCTGCGGAGGCCCAGATACGTTGACCTCAATCACCGAAGCTGTCTCCGTCTCCGACTCCACCACCTCCTCTAACCAGTCGCAATCCACCACAACGGCTTTCTTTGGACTCCCAATTTCGGGGACGGCCTCACCGGCCGCCAAAGCTTCGGCGAGACGCATGAAGCGTCTATTTGGGTTAGGGATCGCTCTTCTCTTTCTTCCTCTCTTCAGCCTGTCCACTTCCTCCTCCAGCCTAGCAATTTTACTACCATGTTCTGCTAGTGTCTGTTCTTGAGTTTCCCAGCCTTTCGCTGTCTTGGCATATCGCCTCCGAGTCGTAGGTGTTCTGTTCTTGCCAAGATCACGAATATGGCGGCTAGATTTCGGGGTGTCGTCAGAGTCCAAAAACGGCCTATGTTCCGGGGATGCCGTAACTTTGTCTCCTTGGATCTCAGGATGCCCCAACGCCTTGGAACGCGAGATTGGCCAATTTCAGTGGTTCTCCAACCGGACAAGATGTTTCTTGTTGTCATTCCCGTTTGACGTGCCGTGGCATACGCACGTATAAAATTGACCTTGTCAACAGGCGTGGAATCCGTCAAAGAAGCCAGTCTGTCAAGCTCCTTCCGGTAGGCTGTCTTTATAGCATTGAAAACAACGTTTTCTAATGGCTGGAGGCTACGAGAACAGTGAGATGGAAGATAACAACAGTAGACATTGTTCAGAAAGCACGTAGCCATCCACTTATTCTGTCGTCAAATCAGCAGGGCCTCATCGCCGTAAAAACAAAGTACGAACCGTTGCATGACTCCCCATCCAGAATGATAAGCCTGGCCTCAGAGTCGTCGTCAGGTCGCGTCTGAGGCAAATAGACTTCCTCAAGCCATTCGACGGCAATGTGGTTGTCCGTCCATCCATTTGGTGAAGTTATGTAGTTCCAATCCGCAAATTCTCGAAACTCGTCCTTAAACCACTGTGCCTGGAGATCTTTGCCCTTAAATATGATGCCAGGAGTCAAGGCGCGCCCGTCGGCGGTGATGGCCTCTATAAAAGTGGTCCAGCTGCGGGACTGGGGTCCCTTGAGAAGAGTCTTCCGTTTAGGTCCAAACTTCCAACCACCAGACTGTCCAGACCTAGCAAAGAAATTGTATTAGCTTATATCGCCTATGGAGAGTTGATTGCATACCAAAACCCGACATAATCCCCCCTTCATCAACATTCACGGTGTTCTCCGGCTTGATCCACCCGTACTCCTTCTCCCTGACGTCAAAGTACCAGTGCACTGCTTTGGGAGTAAATGAGTCGAATCTGTTGGCTTCCTGACGCCTACCGACCTTGCTTCTAAGTTCTGGATGGCGTTGAATGAACTTTTCTACCCAATGACGTCCCAATCTTGAGTCGCAGCCTTGCTGTTTCAGAACGGCAACAACGCAGGCGCGGATTTGACTCTGGGACGGAGCGTAACCCAGAGATTCTTGGCGAAGAGTCCATGCAACCAAGTTGGCCTCCTGGTCTCTGGATAGGAGTTTTCCAGGTTGTTCCTGGTCGGTTAATGCCGACTGACCTCGCATTCTGCTGGAAATAGTACTCTGGGGTATCCCCCATTTCTGAGAAGCCTGGCGCTGCGACAGACCGTTATCAGTGACATCGAGGATTGCCTCAGCCATCACGTTCTCTGTATAGATGGAACGAGGCCTTTTTGGAGCCATTTGTGACAGGTGGTGGAGGATGAGCAAGAGTGGAAAGCAAAGGAGGCAGGAGGAGATTAGGGGTCGAAATTGCCATTTCGCGATGTCAGGGTGTCACGGACCACGACACCTATGGTCATCAGCTGACTTCACAAAATGTAAGTTCAGTCATTTCTATACCCGTTACAGGTGACTGTTTGTCAAAAGCTTTAAAATTGAGTAGATTCTGTATAAGTGAAGTTGGTCCAATTTGTATGGAGCGGCAACATTTTTGCGGAGCATAAGGGGTGAGCAGAAGGGGGGGTAAGCATGGGTAGTTATCCGTACAACACATTTTGCTGAACGTACAACAAAATGTGGCGCAGATCGCGGGGCAGCGCCGATACCGCATTTTTGTGTGCACAGGAGACCGGCCCCTTCCAGGGTCCGCCAATGCCTTGAGGAACGGGACGAGAGTTGGGCATAGCCGAGCGCGAGCATTCGGGTTGTTTTTATAAAAACAAGTCTGTTGGAGAAGAGAGGTGGTAGTGCGGCTGCTTGGACCCGCTACAGCACCTTACCTGTTCACAAATGAGCTTCAAATTGATTCAGCCTCTTCACACAAGCAACCTTCAACGAATTGGTCATCGGAATTAGGTCATCATGGCCCTTGAGTGCAATAGCTGCAAGAAGTCGCCGCCTGAAGTTGCCCTCCTCAAGAGGTGCGCGAAATGTTCCACCACGCCGTACTGCTCCAGGGATTGCCAGAAGGCAGACTGGAAGGTCCATAAGAAGGTTTGTGGCAAACAGGCCGACGCCACGACATCGTTCCAAGATGGGCCTACAACGGGAAATTCATCGCCTCCGAAGGGGTTGGAACAGGGCGTCATCCGCCCCTTCACGCGTCTTGAAAATCGCACTTGGCTGCATGATCGATCGGAAAGAGATGTCTACGGGCTGCTGATCGACGCCTACCGACTGCGCGTTGAGGACATGTACAACATTGAAGGCGAAGCAGACGCGGATAGCATATATGGTGGTGCCGCCAACGGGTTGCGTGGCTTCAAGCGTTTCCTGGAGCGCGTCGAGCGTTGTCCCGGTATACTGCCGCCGTGGTGGGATGCAAAGAAGAAAGAGTGTGAGACACTCGGTATGACCCCATCGCAATGGCACGACCTACGAAGCGCGGTGGAAAAGAGCGACATCATCGAGCAATATGGGGATTCCCGATTCCCGATGCAGCTTCGGATGTTTGCCGAGTCCGTGTACGGTCGAGCTCCGAGCGGGACAAGTGGGACGGCGATGAGTCAAATGATGGTCGCGATGGAGCAGGGTAAAGCAGAGGGGATGGAGTCGCATATGATGGACATGTCAGCAGCCATGCTTGGTCGGCGGTGAAGGGATACGCTTGGTTAGTCGACAGCACCGCAGATCGAGTAGAAGCTGGCCGATCGTGGCTACGACGTACGAAAGGGTCAAACTATCGGGATGGTTAGTATACTGCCACTACTTTTCGAAACCTTGGCCTCGTATAACCGTCTCGTTTCCGCGGCCAAGTTCTTGAGTCTCTGCATTCCATCAAGTATGGCCTGATCCAGCCCATTGCCAATGAAATCATGGTACCTCACGGGACCAAGAAGCTTGATGCCCCGAAGCGAGGTGCACCTGGACAGTTGCACATAGAGGCTCGTAAAATCGCACTTGGAGGGTTCACCATTGGTCACACGATTTCCACGCAGCTCCAACAGTACCTCCACGAAGGTTTTACCCTGGGCTTTGTAATCAGTGAGAACGAACGCCGGTACGACGGGCAATCCACGTCGCGTGCATCTTGCCGACAAGAATTTGAAGTGAGAGTTAGTCGAATCAAGTGTATGTGACATGGGGCGGATGAGAACCGTCCCCACCGGGAGGAGGGTATCGCCAAGGCTTTCGTCTCCTCGGACTGCAGAAGAATACCGAGCGGCGGCCCGAAGTGGATGGTCACGTCATCCGCCAAGTGGTATCCTGGGTGATTGGGATCGAGTATTACGTCCACGGCAGTAAAGTCCGCCCCATTCACCACTTTCAAACCCGTGTAGATGTTTTTGTTCACAACCACAGGCATGCCCTGAGCGTAGAAGAAGACGCCGGGGACTTTGCAGGCAGAGTCGTCACCTTGTCCTATGGTTCGCGCTACGATGTTTGGAGAAAGCGTGCCGTTGCGCCAGGTGTGAGTCGAGACAAAGATACGGATATGCTGCCTGTTGAAGCGCGCCCAGCCCACGACGGCTTCCATGTTGAGGGCCCACCGGGTGCGGTTCAGCGGCGTTATAGCACGCAAACCGTCATGGAAGGTGATTTGGGAGCGTCCTACAATGTTGGCATTGAGCAAGCTCAGATCTTGCTGGGTCTGCCGGCCGTTACGGACTCGATCCAGGAGTGCGCGGAGTTGGGGATCGTTGCGTGCGCGGACTTGGTCTTCGAGGAGCACAACGGTTTTGAACATGTACCACAATCTGCAGCCGCTGTGGTGAGAGATGGTGGCTTGTCGCAGGGGGGTCTGTGTTCGGTCCGGCGGTCTGTTGATCAGGAGGCTTGTTTCCCGCACGGGGGCGAACTGGTAGAAGTCTCCCATCAGTAGAACGACAGGCATCCCACCAAACGGCTCGTCCGGACAGTCACGGAGTGCCTGCAGGTGACGACTGACGTTGTGCAGAGTGGCTCCTCCCAGCATACTGACCTCGTCAATCACGAGTACCAGCTTCAGTTTCCATATCCATTTCTTCGCCTCCGAGAAGGGGAGGCGGTTTGTTTGGATCGCGATGGGAATCTAACCCACAGGCCGAGTGGATCGTCGTGCCGCCAATCTGGGCCGCCGAACTGCCTGATGTGCCGGTTATCTGCAGAAGATGTGGCTGGTCTCTCGCCGCGAACACGCCCTTCAGGGCATCGATAATCCTTGACTTTCCGTGCCTCCCGGCCCGCCGGTATATTGAAGATGCTGACCAGCTGAGTCCGGATCGGCAGTATACTTGTCCAGAAATACGCAAACGAGTTGAAGGGCCATGGTCTGTAGATAGTTCAGTGTAAAGCTAGCGGCGGTGGTGCGTCCCATCTCCACGAAGCTAGTGACCGGACTGACGTCGACAAGCATCCGAGGGCCTTGTTCATCGAGGTCACTACCCGGGAGCGCAGCGGCGGACTCCATATCGCCGTAACGAGCTAGGGTATCGTCAATGTCGGTGCCATTCGCGGACAGTACGGTGCGCTGAGAACCAGCCTCGATATCATCCAGCATCCGAAGATGCAATAGTCGTTGGGCTTTGGCCGCTGCTTGGACATCGTCTCGAGAGATTGGAAATTGGCACAAGGCGTCACCTTGATCATGGGGTATATTCCGGTATAGATCGTCCTGACGTAGCACAAAAGGCTGTTCTTCTTCAGCCGGGTTCTCTTCGCACAGGTCGCGTATTAAACCTCCAAGGACGGGGGAGTCTTTCGTGGCGTCTGTATCTTGCACGGCATTTCGCAAAATCTGGAGTAGAGCTCTGTAGGCCTGACGATGGGCCATCGCTGGAGGCTCCTCTTCGTAGCGGCCATCGTCAAGTGGGTACTCGACGTCAATTGTGTCGTCACCCTCCGATCGAGTGGCCCAGAGCTTCGCGTCTTTACGCGCGTCCTCGGCAGACTTTCTCAAAAGACAAATGTTGGAGACGTAGAAACGGAGGCGGGGACAAAGCCGCGCTCGATGCGTCGTCCATATGTCGGTTATATCGCCTTGGCTCTCAGAAATGAAGTTTTCCCAAGGGACGAATAACGCCAAATGTAGGACAGAATTTCTGCACAGGCCGTCAGACGGAGCCAAAACGGTGCCGGGGGGGTTAGAGAGTACCGCTTAATATACACTGGGTGATCGTCGTCATGGTCGTCGCTGATGTATCCTTGGAAGATCGGGACGGCGTACTGGTCGGGCCGTCGAAGCTTTTGCATCCAGCCGTCACAGTCGGAATCCTGCCCATCGAGAAAAATGTGAGATTCATCTTCACTCCGACCCTTTCGACGCACCAAATGAATCATCGACATGTAGTCATACAGGCATAAGTCCCGTAGAACATGGCCCCGGTAGGCGTACGCATCTAAGCATAGAAGCGTTCGCCCTCCTTGCCTCAGAGGGATGGTCTCCGGGGGGCTGTTCAGCGTCCGTCAGCTCGCCGGCCTGGTGGCGGAGATGTGCCCATAGCCGAAAGATTGTCCAGTAGAGGGCCGTCAAGTTCAGGAACGACCAATGCGGCACGTTGGTAAAGTCGGTGTCATATCCAAGGAGGTGGTAACAGACCTCGACGGCCGAGAGTTGTCGCTCGGAGAAGATCCGATTTGCCGTTCTCATCAGGAACTGACGGCTCTTGTTTAAAACTGCCTGCTGCCTGTCGTCGGGCAGGGTGGGACCTGGCGCGCGACACCTCGCACCACCGGCTTCGCGGAGTTGGCGGGCAACCTCGGTGGCGAGCAATGCGCTTCCACATCGGCGTATCCAGTTTGGTGGCGTAGTTCGTGATGTAGTACACCATGGCCAGGCCCTTGGTTTTGGTCAAGATCATCGAGACGTCGTGATTATGACGAAGGCCGACCGCCAACGACTTGTTGTACCGGTTGACGAGTGGATGGTTGCGCCGGATCTGAAGCAAGCCATCCTCTGTGAAGCCTGTCTCCTCGAAGATCTTCCACGGTGCCTTGAAGCGGCAGGCTGTCCGTCTCTGTTGATCTGCCCCCTGTTCGATGACCCCCTTTAGAGAATACTTAAGGCAGGTGTATGTGTGGGAGTGCACTTGGCAACAGTACGCGATGAAATTGGATTCGTCTTCAAAGGCCGAAGTGAGAGCCAAGGTGCTCCTCATGACCTCCTCCACGGGTTCGATGGGCTTCCTCTATTGTCGCACGGCTTTTCCGGCATCTTCATCTAGGCACTCATGAAAGACGGAGTCTATGTATCGGATCACCTGGGCACGATACGATTCTTCCGCGGGATTGGCCATGTCGTCCATCAGGTTCGGTAACCGCATGTTGCCGTCCAGCCAGAGGAGTCCATGCAAGTGGAGGCTGCCTCGCTCGTTCGTTTCCACCGTGGCGTAGTAGTGGCTGATCTTCCCGAAGATCGATTCCTGGCCTGTGTTCACGTATTTGTCAAAGAATAGAGATATTTCTCGGTGGAAGAAGATGGCCGAGCTGACCGGATCCATGGTGCTGAGGGCGATTCTGTCGTACCTTTCACGGAGATCGGCCAAAAGCTCCTTTGCAGACTCATAATCATGGAGCCTATGAATGGCAAGCTTCATCTTTACCGGATTATTTATGTCGTTGGGACTGATGGTAATCCAGATTGCAGGCATACCGGCCCAAATGTCCAGAGCTTGGATCTTCCTCCGCATAAGCAGACGGGATTCGTTGGAGAGTGGCTGTGCATGACCAAAAATCGACAGCTCGCGGAGCAAGAGCGATATGTCGGGGTCCGACGTAGTCCTTGTCTCCTGCATCTCCGCCTCGGCCCTCTTCAGTCGGTCCTCGGTCAAGTTCGCATAGGCCTGCTCAAACCTGTTGAAGGAATCTTTAGCGACACGAACCATGCTGATGCGGCGGTTGGAGGAGCGGAGGAGGGTGTTGAATACTAAGAAACAAAAGACAGGATGGGTGGCGAACCGGCCTCCATGCCGTTGCAATACGTATTTGGCCCAGTAATTAAGCGAGTGATTCGGACGACGGTCGGCAGGGCCGCCTTGTCGTCTGTGACTCGAGTCGCACTTCGATTTCGCCCCTTCCCCGGGAAAAGCTTCGGAAATGTTCGAGGAAGAAATCTTCGTGCAGGTTGTCTGCAAAATCCGCACCACGCTCTACTCGGACAAACGGCTGGTCTCCGTAGTTTGGACCTGCATAACGCACAGCACAGAGTTGCCATGTCGATCCGGATTGGCGTTGACGATGTCGGCCAGAAACGACAGTTTATCGGACTCGGCGAAGGCAGCCGGACCATCGAGAGGAAACATGCCGGATGTAGACGTCTCACAGACAGTGTCCACTTCCTGGCCGATGGCAGCCGAGTCGGGGACAAGAGTCACCGGCTCACCAGGAGAGGTTGAGTCTGCTCGGTCGACAGAGTACAGTTCAAATCGCAAGATTCGGCGATGAAAGTAGGATCGATCGAGTTCACCAGTTCATCGATGCTTCTAAAGCTGTTTTCCTGCAAGCCTCGATCGGTGTCCGGGACTATGTGGTCCGTTTGTGTCTTCTCAACAGTCGACGGTTCCTCTCTTCGCATGCGGTCCATGATGACGGTCGGAACAGTGGAGCCGTCGGCATACTGCCAGCCGTCCATCTCTGCTTGGTTGATTGCGATACCCTCATAAAGCGGGTTGTTCCTTTGTAGCCATGCCAAGGCAGCTGCCACTCGAGATTTGCGCACCTGAAGCAGGTTTCTGACGTCTGCGGAGCCAGGCTTAGCCGAACCGCTCCAAGAGACGTGAATGTTCTCGATGGCCTGCAGCAAGGGATGAGGAAGAACCGTGGCCACGAGATCGTCCACTTTGTTCGGAAAGACGACAATATGTCCTTTCACGTGCTTGCGGTAACTGATTCCCGAACGGGTCTTGTTGTCGACGGTGAACTTAGTGATATAGCCAAAAGGTGCATGCAGGGCAATGAGTCTCTCTTCGACGGAGAGAGGTCATCAAGCTCTTCGGGGTACCGGTGCTCACAACCGATGGCCATGTTGTTGACCGAGCAGGCCTTAGGCAGCCGCCCACTGTCGAAGCTGGCGCGACACTCGCGGCACACGTCAACTCCGGCGCCCTCGTGCGACGGAAGGCACGCATCACACTCCTGGAGAGCCATGGCCGTCTGTAGCAGCAAGGGTGACAGACGACCCCTCCACTGCATGGTGGTGAGTTCGCAAGGCGATGTCTTCCTGTAGCAGAAGACGCAGTGGGAGACCGGCAACGTCCTCTCGTCCGTAAACGCTTGGTAGAAAGACTTGGAGGCCTCAACCTGAAGGGCAAGTGGAACTTCGTGGCACCAGGATCGCGTTGATGACGCAAGCTCCTTGACGCGGAAACAGGCGTCATAGTGATGTAGAGTGGACTCGACAGAGTCCCGCTGGAGTTGAACGGTTTCTCGCATCGGCCGGGGCCTTTTTGGGGGGCGCCTTGGCTGCGTGGGCGGTGGAGTGGGAAGTGCTTGCTCTTCTCTAGGTCGTTTTGGTGATGGAGTGGCTGGCGGCTGCGTGTGTGCGGCATATTGGTATTGAGCTTCACGGCGGCGGGTTTGGTCTTCGGCGCGCCGGCGATCCATATCGTGCAAGACACGGAGGATCTCGTCATGGGGAACTCTGACAGTCTGTGACCGGCGCTGATAGGACCGGCGCGATTCAAGATCCCTTAAGGTGCGGCGAACCTCTTCGGGTGAGACCGTGGCTGGGTGTTCTCGCGGCATGGTGCAGGGGATGGTTCCGAACGAGTGCATGGAAGAAGGAAAGAAACAGTCTATTACTGGCACCTGGGAGCAAGACGGCGACCACGACATGTGATCGAGAAACTCAGCAAAGGTTTCGAATGCTCATGGACGGGGTAGTCTGCCGAAGCTCAGAGGTGCTTGCGTGAAGGATAGATGGGCAGACGGAGACGTCGGGTTCATGGCTCCGCTATCGCAGGGATGGCGGCGGTTACGAAGTGAGGGCTTAGGGTTAGAAGCATCCCGCAAAACGGGAGGGCCAATCATGTGTTGTACGGTTCTTGGCGGAGTGGATGGCGTCCTTGCCCATACGACAAGGGCCCCATGACGTCGATTTCTGGGGTAGACCGTCTCCCAGCACAGGATCCGTATCCAAATGGACAATCGGGGGGCCGGGCTGGACCATGGTCGAAGTAGGGCTCCGGCCCGGGTAGCGGGGCCGGGCAGCGGGGCCGGCGGGGCCGGAGCCGGAGCGGTCAACGCGGGCGGTGGAGGCGAGAACGGAAAAGAGGAGAGTTGTTGTGTGGCTCGGGAAGGCATGAAGCCGAGTGGAAGGTGGCGGTGAAGGCTGGCGCAGCTCGCACGGGGCGCTAAGTGGCCCGAGCTTACGGAGGGGGCGGAAGAAGGATCCTTTCGTCTCTTCGTTCCTCAAGGCACAAGGCACGGGGCGCTAAGTGGCCCAAGCTGACGGAGGTGGCGGAAGAAGGATCCTTTCGTCTCTTCGTTCCTCAAGGCACCTCAGCAGGACAGGAGACCGGCCCCTTTCAGGGTCCGCCAATGCCTTGAGGAACGGGACTGAATTTGGTTCCACACTGGCAGGTCTGCTGAGACGATGAGGCTTGCTCCCGGTAGTGTGGCTGCTTGGACGCCATTTTACCCCGCCACAACAAGGTGGGTTGAGGGCGGGCGGGGTAAGAACGCGGAGGTAACTTGTAAGGGGCCATCATCTCGAAGGGCAAAGGAGTCTGAACTGTTCGCGAATCATGCAGTAAAGTGTAACAGTTTGTTAAGAATCGACTCAATGCCTCCGATTGATTACTCAAAGTGGGACAACATCGACACCGATTCGGAGCCAGAGGCATCGCCCCAGCAAGCGCCAGCAGCAAACCCACCCGCCGCCCACGCATGCCTCGCCGCCGATGGGTACATCAGGTTTGAGAAACGCACAGCAAGTCGGGGCATGTCGAAGCTGTCATTGTCCGATGTGAGGCCGAGAAACGCAAGCCTTTGGTCTGCCACTACAATCCCTGCGAATCATGTCGTGTTTTCGCAGTCGGTGCCGTCCGTCCCAGGGCTCATCGAGGTCCCGCTGGTCCTGGATCGGACGGGGACTCAGTCCGTCAACGAGGCAGACCTCGACAACCAGATTGCTACGTACCTCAATATTGATGCCAACTCCGGGTTTGCACCTCCAGACTGGCAGTCACAAGTTGGCACCGTCGTGGTCGCGCGCAAGGACAGGAAGCCATTTTATCCGCAGCATCTCGAAGGAGTGTGGATGTTCTGCGACCATATCCTGGACCTGTTCGGGGAAGGAGACGGGCCGCCGAGGTGGCTTTACAGCCGCCAGGCGTTCGAGGAATGGTGGGTAAATTATTGTGAGGAGCAAAAGCGCTTACGTCCAGGGAAGGGAGGGGAGCGAGATCCGGACGACTGGCGTGCGGTCCGGTCACCTTATGAAGTGTAGGACGTCTACGTGCCGCGTTACGACGTGCGAAAGGTCAAACTATAAGGATGGTTAGTATACTAGCACTACTTTTCGAAACCTTGGTCCTTGTATAACCGTCTCGTTTCCGCGGCCAAGTTCTTGAGTCTCTGCATTCCATCAAGAATGGCCTGATCGAGCCCATTGCCAATGAAGTCATGGTGTCTCACGGGATTAAGAAGCTTGATGCCCCGAAGCGAGGTGCACCTGGATAGTTGCACATAGAGGCTCGTAAAATCGCACTTGGAGGGTTCACCATTGGTCACACGATTTCCACGCAGCTCCAACAGTACTTCGACGAATGTTTTACCCTGGGCTTTGTAATCAGTGAGAACGAACGCTGGTACAGCGGGCAGTCCACGTCGCGTGCATCTTGCGGATAAGAACTTGAAGTGAGAGTTAGTCGAATCAAGTGTATGCGACATGGGCCGGATAAGTACTGTCCCCACCGGGAGGGACGGTATCGCCAAGGTCTTCGTCTCCTCGGACTGCAGAAGAATGCCGAGCGGCGGCCCGAAGTGGATGGTCACGTCATCTGCCAAGCAGTATCCCGGGTGATTGGGATCGATTATCACGTCCACGGCAGTAAAGTCAGCCCCATTCACCACCTTCAGGCCAGTGTAGATGTTCTTGTTCACAACCACGGGCATGCCCTGGGCGTAGAAGAAGACGCCGGGGACTTTGCAGGCAGAGTCGTCGCCTTGTCCGATGGTTCGCGCTATGAGGTTTGGAGACAGCGTGCCGTTGCGCCAGGTGTGAGTCGAGACAAAGATACGGATGTGCCGCTTGTTGAAGCGCGCCCAGCCCACAACAGCTTCCATGTTGAGGGCCCACCGGGTGCGGTTCAGCGGCGTTATAGCGCGCAAACCATCGTGGAAGGTGATTTGCGAGCGTCCTACAATGTTGGCATTGAGCAAGCTCAGATCTTCATGGGTCTGGCGCCCGTTACGAACTCGATCCAGGAGTGCACGGAGCTGGGGATCGTTGCGTGCGCGGACTTGGTCTTCGAGGAGCACCACGGTTTTGAACAGATGCCACAATCTGCAGCCGCTGTGGTGAGATATGGTCGCTTGTCGCAAGGGGGTCTCTGTTCGGTCCGGCGGTCTGATGATCAGTAGGCTTGTCTCCGCACGGGGCGAACTGGTAGAAGTCTCCCATCAGTAGAACGACGGGCATCCCGCCAAACGGTTCGTCCGGACAGTCACGGAGTGCCTGCAGGTAATGACTGACGTTGTGCAGAGTGGCTCCTCCCAGCATACTGACCTCGTCAATGACGAGCACCAGCTTCTGTTTCCAGATCCACTTCTTCGCCTCCGAGAAGGGGGGAGGCGGTTTGTTTGGATCGCGATGGGAATCCAACCCACAGGCCGAGTGGATGGTCGTGCCGCCAATCTGGGCCGCCGAACTGCCCGACGTGCCGGTTATCTGCAGAAGATGCGGCTGGTTCCTCGCCGCGAACACGTCCTTCAGGGCATCGATAATCCTCGACTTTCCCGTGCCACCTGGCCCGCCGGTGTATTGAAGATGCTGACCGGCTGAGTCCGGATTGGCAGTATACTTGTCCAGAAACAGGCAAACGAGTTGAAGGGCCATGGTCTGTAGATAGTTCAGTGTAAAGCTGGCCGCGGCGGTGTGTCCCATCTCCGCGAAGCTAGTTGCCGGACTGACGTCGACAAGCATCCGAGGGCCTCGTTCATTGAGGTCGCTGCCCGGGAGCCCAGCAGGGGACTCCGTATCGCCGTAGCGAGCTAGCGTATCGTCGATGTCGGCGCCATCCGCGGAAAGCATGGCCCCCTGGGAACCACCCTCAATGTCGTCTAGCATCCGAAGATGCAATAGTTGTTGGGCCTTGGCCGCTGCCTGGACATCGTCTCGAGATATGGGAGTTGACACAAGGCGTCACCTTGATCATGGGGCATATTCCGGTACAGATCCTCTTGACGTTGGACAAAGGTTGCTCTTCTCCAGCCGGGTTCTCTTCGCACAGATCGTGTATTAAACCTCCAAGGACGGGGAGTCTTTTGTGGCGTCCGTGTCCTGCACGGCATTTCGCAAAATCTGGAGTAGAGCTCTGTAGGCCTGACGATGAGCCATCGCTGGAGGCTCTTCTTCGTATCGGCCATCGTCAAGCGGGTACTCAACGTCAATTGTGTCGTCGCCCTCCGACCGACTGGCCCAGAGCTTCGCGTCCTTACGCGCGTCTTCGGCAGACTTTCTCAAAAGACAAATGTTAGAGACGTAGAAACGGAGGCGGGGACAAAGGCCCGCTCGATGCGTCGTCCATATGTCGGTTATATCGCCTAGGCTCTCAGAAATGAAGTTTTCCCAAGGGACGAATAACGCCAAATGTAGGACAGGGTTTCTACACAGAGTGTCAGACGGAGCCAAAACGGTGCCGGGGGTTAGAGCGTACCGCTTAATATAGACTGGGTGATCGTCCTCGTGGTCGTCGCTGATGTATCCTTGGAAGATCGGGACGGCGTACTGGTCGGGCCGTCGAAGCTTTTGCATCCAGCCTTCACAGTCTGAATCCTGGCCATCGAGAAAATGTGAGAGTCATCTTCACTCCGACCATTTCGACGCACCAAGTGAATCATTGACATGTAGTCATACAGGCATAAGTCTTGTAGAACATGACCGCGGTAGGCGTACGCCTCCAGGCATAATAGGGTTCGCCCTCCTTGCCTCAGAGGATTGTCTCTGGGGCTGTTCGGCGTCCGTGAGCTCGCCGGCCTGATGGCGGAGATGCGCCCATAGCCGAAAGATTGTCCAGTATAGGGCCGTCAAGTTCAAGAAGGACCAATGCGGCACGTTGGTAAAGTCGGTGTCATATCCAAGGAGGTGGTAACAAACCTCGACAGCCGAGAGTTGTCGCTCGGAGAAGATGCGATTTGCCGTTCTCATCAGGAATTGACGGCTTTCGTTCAATACCGCCTGCTGCCTGCCGTCGGGCAGGGCGGGACCTGGCGCGCGAGACGTCGGACGACCGGCCTCGCGAAGTTGGCGGGCAACCTCGGTGGCGAGCAATGCGCTTCCACATCGGCGTATCCAGTTTGGTGGCGTAGTTCGTGATGTAGTACACCATGGCCAGGCCCTTGGTCTTGGTCAAGATCATCGAGACGTCGTGATTGTGGCGAAGGCCGACCGCCAACGACTTGTTGTACCGGTTGACGAGTGGATGGTTGCGCTGAATCTGAAGCAAGCCATCCTCTGTGAACCCTGTCTCCTCGACGATTTTCCACGGTGCCTTGAAGCGGCAGGCTGTCCGTCTCTGTTGATCTGCCCCCCGGTCGATGACCCCCTTCAGAGAATACTTGAGGCAGGTGTGTGGGAGTGCACTTGGCAACAGTATGCGATGAAATTGATTCGTCTTCAAAGGCCGCAGTGAGAGCCGAGGTGCTAGTCATGACCTCCTCCACGGGATCGATGGGCTTCCTCTGCTGTCGCACGGCTTTTCCGGCATCTTCATCTAGACACTCATGAAAGACGGAGTCTGCGTATCGGATCACCTGGGCACGATATGATTCTTCCGCGGGATTGGCCATGTCGTCTATCAGGTTCGGTAACCGCATGTTGCCGTCCAGCCAGAGGAGTCCATGCAAGTGGAGGCTGCCTCGCTCGTTCGTTTCCACGGTGGCGTAGTAGTGGCTGATCTTCCCGAAGATCGATTCCCGGCCTGTATTCACATACTTTTCAAAGAATAGGGATATTTCTCGGTGGAAGAAGATGGCCGAGCTGACCGGATCCATGGTGCTCAGGGCGATCCTGTCGTACTTTTCACGGAGATCGGCCAAAAGCTCCTTCGCAGACTCATAATCGTGGAGCCTATGAATGGCAAGCTTCATCTTTACCGGGTTATTGATGTCGTTGGGACTGATGGTAATCCAGATTGCAGGCATACCGGCGCGGATGTCCAGAGCTTGTATCTTCCTCCGCATAAGCAAACGGGATTCGTTCGAGAGCGGCTGTGCATGGCCAAAGATCGACAGCTCGCGAAGCAAGAGCGATATGTCGGGGTCCGACGTAGTCCTCGTCTCCCGCATCTCCGCCTCGGCCCTCTTCAGTCGGTCCTCGGTCAAGTTCGCATAGGCCTGCTCAAGTCTGTGGAAGGAATCTTTAGCGACACGGACCATGCTGATGCGGCGGTTGGAGGAGCGAAGGAGGGTGTTGAATACTAAGAAACAAAAGACAGGATGGGTGGCGAATCGGCCACCATGCCGTTGCAATACGTATCTGGCCCAGTATTGAAGAGAGTGATTCGGACGACGGTCGGCAGCGTCGCTTTGTCGGCCATGACTCGAGTCGCCCTTCGATTTCGGGCCGCCCCTTCCCACGGGAAAAGCTTCGGAAATGTTCGAGGAAGAAATCTTCGTGCAGGTTGTCTGCAAAATCCGCACCACGCTCTACTCGGACAAACGGCTGGTCTCCTGTAGTTCGGACCTGCATAACGCATGGCACAGAGGTACCCTGTTGGTCCGGATTGGCGTTGACGATGTCGGCCAGAAACGACAGTTTATCGGTCTCGGCGAAGGCAGCCGGACCATCGAGAGGAAACATGCCGGACGTAGACGTCTCGTAGACAGGATCAACTTCCTGGCCGATGGCGGCCGAGTCGGGGACAAGAGTCGCCGGCTCACCAGGGGAAGGTTGAGTCTGCTCAGTCGACAGAGCACAGTCCAAATCGCAAGATTCAGCGATGAAGATAGGATCGATGGAGTTTACGAGTTCATCGATGCTTGTAAAGCTGTTTTCCGCCAAGCCTCGATCAGTGTTCGGGACTATATGGTCCGTTTGTGTCCTCTCAACGGTCGACGGTTCCTCTCTTTGCATGCGGTCCATGATGACGGTCGGAACACTGGACCCATCGGCATACTGCCAGCCGTCCATCTCTGCTTGGTTGATTGAGATATTCTCGTAAAGCGGGTTGTTCCTCTGGAGCCATGCCAGGGCGGCTGCCACTCGAGATTTGCGCACCCGAAGCAGGTGTCCGACGTCTGCGGAGCCAGGCTTAGCCGAGCCGCTCCAAGAGACGTGGATATTCTCAATGGCTTGCAGCAAGGGATGGGGAAGAACGGTGGCAACAAGATCGTCCACCTTGTTCGGAAAGACGACAATATGTCCTTTCACGTGCTTGCGGTAGCTGATTCCCGAACGGGTCTTGTTGTCCACTGTGAACTTGGTGATATAGCCAAAAGGCGCATGTAGGGCAATGAGTCTCTCTTCGACGGGAGAGAGGTCATCAAGCTCGTCGGGGTACCGATGCTCACAACCGATGGCCATGTTGTTGACAGAGCAGGCCTTGGGCAGCCGTCCACTGTCGAAGCTGACGCGACACTCGCGGCACACGTCAGCTCCGGCGCCCTGGTGTGACGGAAGGCACGCACCACACTCTTGGATGGTCCTGGTCGCCCACATCATGGAGGGCGACAAGCGATCCCTCCACTGCATGGTGGCGAGTTCGCAAGGCGGTGTCTTCCTGCAGCAGAAGACGCAGTGGGACACCGGCAACGTCCGTTCCTCGGTAAACGCTTGGTAGAAAGATTTAGCAGCTTCTACCTGGAGGGCAACTGGAACTTCGTTGCACCAGGATCTTGTCGATGATGCCTGCTCTTTAGAGCGGAAACAGGCGTCATAGTGATGTAGCGTAGACTTGACGGAGTCTCGTTGGAGCTGAACGGTTTCTCGCGTAGGCCCGGGCCTCGTGGGGAAGCGCCCCGCCCGTGTGAGCGATGAAGGGCGAAGCGGTTGTTCCGCACTGGATCGACTCGGTGATGGAGAGGCCGGCGTCTGCGTGTGTCTTTTGGAGGAGCGCCTTGGCTGCGTGGGAGGTGGGGAGGTGTCTCCTCTTCTCTGAGTCGTTTCGGTGATGGAGCGGCCGGCGGCTGCGTGTGTCTTTGAAGGAGCGCCTTAGCTGCGTGGGAGGTGGAGGGGTGATTGCCCCTCTCAGGTCGTCTCGGTGATGCAGTCGCTGGCAGCTGCGTGTGACTTGTACGGGAGTTTTGGCTGCGTTGGGGTGGAGAGGAGGGCGCTTGCTCTTCTCGGGGTCGTCTCGGGGGTTGTTCGGCTGTTGCGTGTGTGCGGTATATTGGAATTGAGCTTCACGGCGGCGGGTTCGTTCTTCGGCGCGCTGGCGGTCCATATCGTGCAAGACGCGGAGGATCTCGTCGTGGGGAACCCTAATAAGCGGTGAAGGTCGTTGACAGGAACGGCGCTGCTGGGATCTCTGCGATTCAAGATCACCCAAAGTGCGGCGAACTTCCTCGGGCGAGACCGTGACGGGGTGTTCTCGTGGCATGGTGCACGGTGATGGCTGTAAAAGGTGAGTTGGCCCGGGAGTGGGACCGGAGCAGGAGGACGGGAACGGGACGGGAACGGGCAGCAGGAACAGGAAGTTGGTGGGGAAAGAAACAGGTGGCGGTGAAGAGTGGCTGGTGGGCACGGAGCGGCATGCGGTCCGTGCGTAAGGGGTAGAGGATGTGGAGGTGTGGCGAAGGGCGCGGAAGAAGGATCCTTTCGTCTCTTCGTTCCTCAAGGCACAAGGCCACGCCCTGATTGTACGATCGGGGAGGGATAACGACGCCTACATGACCTGCTCGCGGGCTGGCGGGCATCGCGATTCTACTGACCCCAGCGCCCATAGATCAAAACGCCGGGCGAACCAGGCCACATACAATGCGACTGCGGCTTCCGCCTTATTATTAAGAGGAGCAGCGAGGCGCCTGGCCGGCCATCGCCGTCCTGTACAGACCACAACCACCCTCCTGTGCCCGCGATATTACACTCCACTTCCTCAACGGGAGGCCGAATCACAATACCGCTGGGCTCTGCAATGCCTACAATTGGCAGCCGAAGAGGCATTCCGGCGCCGCGGATCATGGTCACAGATCGTGAGCTTGCCTAATGAATGCAGTTGTTGCTTTCCAGAATTACACCACGTAGTTCACCTGCTCTGCCGCTGGCATATCAACGAAAACGTTCTTACAAGTGCAAGCACTTCCTGCTGCAACAAAGGAAGGAGATCGCGCAATCCGAGCCTACGTTCACAGCCTTCCTCAAAGAGTGGGCAGGCATCGTTAACGCCCTAATGAGGCTATCTATAACACACTGGTCCCTGCGTTCGAAGCAGCCGGCCATCCGCAGGCCGCCGTGGATTACGCTATCAATACGTGGCTCGACCCTGGAAGAGAAGTTCGTGATGTGCTTCGTTGACCGGCACCGGCACCTCGGGCATACAACAACCCTATTATAGGGCATGCATTCTACGATGAAGCGGTTCCTATGGTCCTCGATGGGCGACTTGACCTCTGTTTTCCAGCGTCTTCGGGCCCAGTCAGACGAAATACTCAATTTGCAGCAAATTGCGATATATTATCAACGTCACTCGCCGGTCTTCGCAAAATCCGACCGAACTCTGCCTGGGCCTTCAGAAAATAGGGTTGAATATCGCGCTGTCTACTAATGATCGGGCAATCCGCCGCTGGGCTGCTGTGATACCTACTTTATTGTAGCGAGCAGCCTTCGTGGAATACCTTCATACACACGGCGACTCGTACGAGCCGGGCACAGAGATGCCACGGGCGTATCAGCGCGCCGCTGCTGCTGATGACTCTGATGACGAGCTTTCTGGCGAGACGCAGGGCACGATCCACTGTGCCTTGAGGAACGAAGAGACGAAAGGATCCTTCTTCCGCGCCCTTCGCCACACCTCCACATCCTCTACCCCTTACGCACGGACCGCATGTGCCTTGAGGAACGAAGAGACGAAAGGATCCTTCTTCCGCGCCCTTCGCCACACCTCCACATCCTCTACCCCTTACGCACGGACCGCATGCCGCTCCGTCTCTTCACCGCCACCTGTTTCTTTCCCCACCAACTTCCTGTTCCTGCTGCCCGTTCCCGTCCTCCCGTCCCGCTCCTGCTCCGGTCCCACTCCCGGGCCAACTCACCACAGCCATCACCGTGCACCATGCCACGAGAACACCCCGTCACGGTCTCGCCCGAAGTTCGCCGCACTTGGGTGATCTTGAATCGCAGAGATCCCAGCAGCGCCGTTCCTGTCAACGACCTTCACCGCTTATTAGGGTTCCCGACGAGATCCTCCGCGTCTTGCACGATATGGACCGCCAGCGCGCCGAAGAACGAACCCGCCGCCGTAGCTCAATTCCAATATACCGCACACGCAACAGCCGAACAACCCATCCCGAGACGACCCGAGAAGAGCAAGCCCTCCTCTCCACCCCAACGCAGCCAAAACACTCCCGTACAAGTCACACGCAGCTGCCAGCGACTGCATCACCGAGACGACCCAGAGAGGCAATCACCCCCTCCACCTCCCACGCAGCTAAGGCGCTCCTTCAAAGACACACGCAGCCGCCGGCCGCTCCATCACCGAAACGACTCAGAGAAGAGGAGACACCTCCACTCCACCCCCACGCAGCCAAGGCGCTCCTCCAAAAGACACACGCAGACGCCGGCCTCCATCACCGAGTCGATCCAGTGCGGAACAACCGCTTCGCCCTTCATCGCTCACACGGGCGGGCGCTTCCCACGAGGCCCGGGCCTACGCGAGAAACCGTTCAGCTCCAACGAGACTCCGTCAAGTCTACGCTACATCACTATGACGCCTGTTTCCGCTCTAAGAGCAGGCATCATCGACAAGATCCTGGTGCAACGAAGTTCCAGTTGCCCTCCAGGTAGAAGCTGCTAAATCTTTCTACCAAGCGTTTACCGAGGAACGGACGTTGCCGGTGTCCCACTGCGTCTTCTGCTGCAGGAAGACACCGCCTTGCGAACTCGCCACCATGCAGTGGAGGGATCGCTTGTCGCCCTCCATGATGTGGGCGACCAGGACCATCCAAGAGTGTGGTGCGTGCCTTCCGTCACACCAGGGCGCCGGAGCTGACGTGTGCCGCGAGTGTCGCGTCAGCTTCGACAGTGGACGGCTGCCCAAGGCCTGCTCTGTCAACAACATGGCCATCGGTTGTGAGCATCGGTACCCCGACGAGCTTGATGACCTCTCTCCCGTCGAAGAGAGACTCATTGCCCTACATGCGCCTTTTGGCTATATCACCAAGTTCACAGTGGACAACAAGACCCGTTCGGGAATCAGCTACCGCAAGCACGTGAAAGGACATATTGTCGTCTTTCCGAACAAGGTGGACGATCTTGTTGCCACCGTTCTTCCCCATCCCTTGCTGCAAGCCATTGAGAATATCCACGTCTCTTGGAGCGGCTCGGCTAAGCCTGGCTCCGCAGACGTCGGACACCTGCTTCGGGTGCGCAAATCTCGAGTGGCAGCCGCCCTGGCATGGCTCCAGAGGAACAACCCGCTTTACGAGAATATCTCAATCAACCAAGCAGAGATGGACGGCTGGCAGTATGCCGATGGGTCCAGTGTTCCGACCGTCATCATGGACCGCATGCAAAGAGAGGAACCGTCGACCGTTGAGAGGACACAAACGGACCATATAGTCCCGAACACTGATCGAGGCTTGGCGGAAAACAGCTTTACAAGCATCGATGAACTCGTAAACTCCATCGATCCTATCTTCATCGCTGAATCTTGCGATTTGGACTGTGCTCTGTCGACTGAGCAGACTCAACCTTCCCTGGTGAGCCGGCGACTCTTGTCCCCGACTCGGCCGCCATCGGCCAGGAAGTTGATCCTGTCTACGAGACGTCTACGTCCGGCATGTTTCCTCTCGATGGTCCGGCTGCCTTCGCCGAGACCGATAAACTGTCGTTTCTGGCCGACATCGTCAACGCCAATCCGGACCAACAGGGTACCTCTGTGCCATGCGTTATGCAGGTCCGAACTACAGGAGACCAGCCGTTTGTCCGAGTAGAGCGTGGTGCGGATTTTGCAGACAACCTGCACGAAGATTTCTTCCTCGAACATTTCCGAAGCTTTTCCCGTGGGAAGGGCGGCCGAAATCGAAGGGCGACTCGAGTCATGGCCGACAAAGCGACGCTGCCGACCGTCGTCCGAATCACTCTCTTCAATACTGGGCCAGATACGTATTGCAACGGCATGGTGGCCGATTCGCCACCCATCCTGTCTTTTGTTTCTTAGTATTCAACACCCTCCTTCGCTCCTCCAACCGCCGCATCAGCATGGTCCGTGTCGCTAAAGATTCCTTCCACAGACTTGAGCAGGCCTATGCGAACTTGACCGAGGACCGACTGAAGAGGGCCGAGGCGGAGATGCGGGAGACGAGGACTACGTCGGACCCCGACATATCGCTCTTGCTTCGCGAGCTGTCGATCTTTGGCCATGCACAGCCGCTCTCGAACGAATCCCGTTTGCTTATGCGGAGGAAGATACAAGCTCTGGACATCCGCGCCGGTATGCCTGCAATCTGGATTACCATCAGTCCCAACGACATCAATAACCCGGTAAAGATGAAGCTTGCCATTCATAGGCTCCACGATTATGAGTCTGCGAAGGAGCTTTTGGCCGATCTCCGTGAAAAGTACGACAGGATCGCCCTGAGCACCATGGATCCGGTCAGCTCGGCCATCTTCTTCCACCGAGAAATATCCTATTCTTTGAAAAGTATGTGAATACAGGCCGGGAATCGATCTTCGGGAAGATCAGCCACTACTACGCCACCGTGAAACGAACGAGCGAGGCAGCCTCCACTTGCATGGACTCCTCTGGCTGGACGGCAACATGCGGTTACCGAACCTGATAGACGACATGGCCAATCCCGCGGAAGAATCATATCGTGCCCAGGTGATCCGATACGCAGACTCCGTCTTTCATGAGTGTCTAGATGAAGATGCCGGAAAAGCCGTGCGACAGCAGAGGAAGCCCATCGATCCCGTGGAGGAGGTCATGACTAGCACCTCGGCTCTCACTGCGGCCTTTGAAGACGAATCCAATTTCATCGCATACTGTTGCCAAGTGCACTCCCACACATACACCTGCCTCAAGTATTCTCTGAAGGGTCATCGAACAGGGGGCAGATCAACAGAGACGGACAGCCTGCCGCTTCAAGGCACCGTGGAAAATCGTCGAGGAGACAGGGTTCACAGAGGATGGCTTGCTTCAGATTCAGCGCAACCATCCACTCGTCAACCGGTACAACAAGTCGTTGGCGGTCGGCCTTCGCCACAATCACGACGTCTCGATGATCTTGACCAAGACCAAGGGCCTGGCCATGGTGTACTACATCACGAACTACGCCACCAAACTGGATACGCCGATGTGGAAGCGCATTGCTCTCGCCACCGAGGTTGCCCGCCAACTTCGCGAGGCCGGTCGTCCGACGTCTCGCGCGCCAGGTCCCGCCCTGCCCGACGGCAGGCAGCAGGCGGTATTGAACGAAAGCCGTCAATTCCTGATGAGAACGGCAAATCGCATCTTCTCCGAGCGACAACTCTCGGCTGTCGAGGTTTGTTACCACCTCCTTGGATATGACACCGACTTTACCAACGTGCCGCATTGGTCCTTCTTGAACTTGACGGCCCTATACTGGACAATCTTTCGGCTATGGGCGCATCTCCGCCATCAGGCCGGCGAGCTCACGGACGCCGAACAGCCCCAGAGACAATCCTCTGAGGCAAGGAGGGCGAACCCTATTATGCCTGGAGGCGTACGCCTACCGCGGTCATGTTCTACAAGACTTATGCCTGTATGACTACATGTCAATGATTCACTTGGTGCGTCGAAATGGTCGGAGTGAAGATGACTCTCACATTTTCTCGATGGCCAGGATTCAGACTGTGAAGGCTGGATGCAAAAGCTTCGACGGCCCGACCAGTACGCCGTCCCGATCTTCCAAGGATACATCAGCGACGACCACGAGGACGATCACCCAGTCTATATTAAGCGGTACGCTCTAACCCCCGGCACCGTTTTGGCTCCGTCTGACACTCTGTGTAGAAACCCTGTCCTACATTTGGCGTTATTCGTCCCTTGGGAAAACTTCATTTCTGAGAGCCTAGGCGATATAACCGACATATGGACGACGCATCGAGCGGGCCTTTGTCCCCGCCTCCGTTTCTACGTCTCTAACATTTGTCTTTGAGAAAGTCTGCCGAAGACGCGCGTAAGGACGCGAAGCTCTGGGCCAGTCGGTCGGAGGGCGACGACACAATTGACGTTGAGTACCCGCTTGACGATGGCCGATACGAAGAAGAGCCTCCAGCGATGGCTCATCGTCAGGCCTACAGAGCTCTACTCAGATTTTGCGAAATGCCGTGCAGGACACGGACGCCACAAAAGACTCCCCGTCCTTGGAGGTTTAATACACGATCTGTGCGAAGAGAACCCGGCTGGAGAAGAGCAACCTTTTGTCCAACGTCAAGAGGATCTGTACCGGAATATGCCCCATGATCAAGGTGACGCCTTGTGTCAACTCCCCATATCTCGAGACGATGTCCAGGCAGCGGCCAAGGCCCAACAACTATTGCATCTTCGGATGCTAGACGACATTGAGGTGGTTCCCAGGGGACCATGCTTTCCGCGGATGGCGCCGACATCGACGATACGCTAGCTCGCTACGGCGATACGGAGTCCCCTGCTGGGCTCCCGGGCAGCGACCTCAATGAACGAGGCCCTCGGATGCTTGTCGACGTCAGTCCGGCAACTAGCTTCGCGGAGATGGGACACACCGCCGCGGCCAGCTTTACACTGAACTATCTACAGACCATGGCCCTTCAACTCGTTTGCCGGTTTCTGGACAAGTATACTGCCAATCCGGACTCAGCCGGTCAGCATCTTCAATACACCGGCGGGCCGGGTGGCACGGGAAAGTCGAGGATTATCGATGCCCTGAAGGACGTGTTCGCGGCGAGGAACCAGCCGCATCTTCTGCAGATAACCGGCACGTCGGGCAGTTCGGCGGCCCAGATTGGCGGCACGACCATCCACTCGGCCTGTGGGTTGGATTCCCATCGCGATCCAAACAAACCGCCTCCCCCCTTCTCGGAGGCGAAGAAGTGGATCTGGAAACAGAAGCTGGTGCTCGTCATTGACGAGGTCAGTATGCTGGGAGGAGCCACTCTGCACAACGTCAGTCATTACCTGCAGGCACTCCGTGACTGTCCGGACGAACCGTTTGGCGGGATGCCCGTCGTTCTACTGATGGGAGACTTCTACCAGTTCGCCCCGTGCGAGACAAGCCTACTGATCATCAGACCGCCGGACCGAACAGAGACCCCCTTGCGACAAGCGACCATATCTCACCACAGCGGCTGCAGATTGTGGCATCTGTTCAAAACCGTGGTGCTCCTCGAAGACCAAGTCCGCGCACGCAACGATCCCCAGCTCCGTGCACTCCTGGATCGAGTTCGTAACGGGCGCCAGACCCATGAAGATCTGAGCTTGCTCAATGCCAACATTGTAGGACGCTCGCAAATCACCTTCCACGATGGTTTGCGCGCTATAACGCCGCTGAACCGCACCCGGTGGGCCCTCAACATGGAAGCTGTTGTGGGCTGGGCGCGCTTCAACAAGCGGCACATCCGTATCTTTGTCTCGACTCACACCTGGCGCAACGGCACGCTGTCTCCAAACCTCATAGCGCGAACCATCGGACAAGGCGACGACTCTGCCTGCAAAGTCCCCGGCGTCTTCTTCTACGCCCAGGGCATGCCCGTGGTTGTGAACAAGAACATCTACACTGGCCTGAAGGTGGTGAATGGGGCTGACTTTACTGCCGTGGACGTGATAATCGATCCCAATCACCCGGGATACTGCTTGGCAGATGGCGTGACCATCCACTTCGGGCCGCCGCTCGGCATTCTTCTGCAGTCCGAGGAGACGAAGACCTTGGCGATACCGTCCCTCCCGGTGGGGACAGTACTTATCCGGCCCATGTCGCATACACTTGATTCGACTAACTCTCACTTCAAGTTCTTATCCGCAAGATGCACGCGACGTGGACTGCCCGCTGTACCAGCGTTCGTTCTCACTGATTACAAAGCCCAGGGTAAAACATTCGTCGAAGTACTGTTGGAGCTGCGTGGAAATCGTGTGACCAATGGTGAACCCTCCAAGTGCGATTTTACGAGCCTCTATGTGCAACTATCCAGGTGCACCTCGCTTCGGGGCATCAAGCTTCTTAATCCCGTGAGACACCATGACTTCATTGGCAATGGGCTCGATCAGGCCATTCTTGATGGAATGCAGAGACTCAAGAACTTGGCCGCGGAAACGAGACGGTTATACAAGGACCAAGGTTTCGAAAAGTAGTGCTAGTATACTAACCATCCTTATAGTTTGACCTTTCGCACGTCGTAACGCGGCACGTAGACGTCCTACACTTCATAAGGTGACCGGACCGCACGCCAGTCGTCCGGATCTCGCTCCCCTCCCTTCCCTGGACGTAAGCGCTTTTGCTCCTCACAATAATTTACCCACCATTCCTCGAACGCCTGGCGGCTGTAAAGCCACCTCGGCGGCCCGTCTCCTTCCCCGAACAGGTCCAGGATATGGTCGCAGAACATCCACACTCCTTCGAGATGCTGCGGATAAAATGGCTTCCTGTCCTTGCGCGCGACCACGACGGTGCCAACTTGTGACTGCCAGTCTGGAGGTGCAAACCCGGAGTTGGCATCAATATTGAGGTACGTAGCAATCTGGTTGTCGAGGTCTGCCTCGTTGACGGACTGAGTCCCCGTCCGATCCAGGACCAGCGGGACCTCGATGAGCCCTGGGACGGACGGCACCGACTGCGAAAACACGACATGATTCGCAGGGATTGTAGTGGCAGACCAAAGGGGAAACTTGCGTTTCTCGGCCTCACATCGGACAATGACAGCTTCGACATGCCCCGACTTGCTGTGCGTTTCCCTCAAACCTGATGTACCCATCGGCGGCGAGGCATGCGTGGGCGGCGGGGTGGGTTTTGCTGCTGGCGCTTGCTGGGGCGATGCCTCTGGCTCCGAATCGGTGTCGATGTTGTCCCACTTTGAGTAATCAATCGGAGGCATTGAGTCGATTCTTAACAAACTGTTACACTTTACTGCATGATTCGCGAACAGTTCAGACTCCTTTGCCCTTCGAGATGATGGCCCTACAAGTTACCTCCGCGTTCTTACCCCGCCCGCCCTCAACCCACCTTGTTGTGGCGGGGTAAAATGGCGTCAAGCAGCCACACTACCGGGAGCAAGCCTCATCGTCTCAGCAGACCTGCCAGTGTGGAACCAAATTCAGTCCCGTTCCTCAAGGCATTGGCGGACCCTGAAAGGCCGGTCTCCTGTCCTGCTGAGGTGCCTTGAGGAACGAAGAGACGAAAGGATCCTTCTTCCGCCACCTCCGTCAGCTTGGGCCACTTAGCGCCCCGTGCCTTGTGCCTTGAGGAACGAAGAGACGAAAGGATCCTTCTTCCGCCCCTCCGTAAGCTCGGGCCACTTAGCGCCCCGTGCGAGCTGCGCCAGCCTTCACCGCCACCTTCCACTCGGCTTCATGCCTTTCCCGAGCCACACAACAACTCTCCTCTTTTCCGTTCTCGCCTCCACCGCCCGCGTTGACCGCTCCGGCTCCGGCCCCGCCGGCCCGCTGCCCGGCCCGCTACCCGGGCCGGAGCCCTACTTCGACCATGGTCAGCCCGGCCCCGATTGTCCATTTGGATACGGATCCTGTGCTGGGAGACGGTCTACCCCAGAAATCGACGTCATGGGGCCCTTGTCGTATGGGCAAGGACGCCATCCACTCCGCCAAGAACCGTACAACACATGATTGGCCCTCCCGTTTTGCGGGATGCTTCTAACCCTAAGCCCCTCACTTCGTAACCGCCGCCATCCCCTGCGATAGCGGAGCCATGAACCCGACGTCTCCGTCTGCCCATCTATCCTTCACGCAAGCACCTCTGAGCTTCGGCAGACTACCCCGTCCATGAGCATTCGAAACCTTTGCTGAGTTTCTCGATCACATGTCGTGGTCGCCGTCTTGCTCCCAGGTGCCAGTAATAGACTGTTTCTTTCCTTCTTCCATGCACTCGTTCGGAACCATCCCCTTGCACCATGCCGCGAGAACCCAGCCACGGTCTCACCCGAAGAGGTTCGCCGCACCTTAAGGGATCTTGAATCGCGCCGGTCCTATCAGCGCCGGTCACAGACTGTCAGAGTTCCCATGACGAGATCCTCCGTGTCTTGCACGATATGGATCGCCGGCGCGCCGAAGACCAAACCCGCCGCCGTGAAGCTCAATACCAATATGCCGCACACACGCAGCCGCCAGCCACTCCATCACCAAAACGACCTAGAGAAGAGCAAGCACTTCCCACTCCACCGCCCACGCAGCCAAGGCGCCCCCCAAAAAGGCCCCGGCCGATGCGAGAAACCGTTCAACTCCAGCGGGACTCTGTCGAGTCCACTCTACATCACTATGACGCCTGTTTCCGCGTCAAGGAGCTTGCGTCATCAACGCGATCCTGGTGCCACGAAGTTCCACTTGCCCTTCAGGTTGAGGCCTCCAAGTCTTTCTACCAAGCGTTTACGGACGAGAGGACGTTGCCGGTCTCCACTGCGTCTTCTGCTACAGGAAGACATCGCCTTGCGAACTCACCACCATGCAGTGGAGGGGTCGTCTGTCACCCTTGCTGCTACAGACGGCCATGGCTCTCCAGGAGTGTGATGCGTGCCTTCCGTCGCACGAGGGCGCCGGAGTTGACGTGTGCCGCGAGTGTCGCGCCAGCTTCGACAGTGGGCGGCTGCCTAAGGCCTGCTCGGTCAACAACATGGCCATCGGTTGTGAGCACCGGTACCCCGAAGAGCTTGATGACCTCTCTCCCGTCGAAGAGAGACTCATTGCCCTGCATGCACCTTTTGGCTATATCACTAAGTTCACCGTCGACAACAAGACCCGTTCGGGAATCAGTTACCGCAAGCACGTGAAAGGACATATTGTCGTCTTTCCGAACAAAGTGGACGATCTCGTGGCCACGGTTCTTCCTCATCCCTTGCTGCAGGCCATCGAGAACATTCACGTCTCTTGGAGCGGTTCGGCTAAGCCTGGCTCCGCAGACGTCAGAAACCTGCTTCAGGTGCGCAAATCTCGAGTGGCAGCTGCCTTGGCATGGCTACAAAGGAACAACCCGCTTTATGAGGGTATCGCAATCAACCAAGCAGAGATGGACGGCTGGCAGTATGCCGACGGCTCCACTGTTCCGACCGTCATCATGGACCGCATGCGAAGAGAGGAACCGTCGACTGTTGAGAAGACACAAACGGACCACATAGTCCCGGACACCGATCGAGGCTTGCAGGAAAACAGCTTTAGAAGCATCGATGAACTGGTGAACTCGATCGATCCTACTTTCATCGCCGAATCTTGCGATTTGAACTGTACTCTGTCGACCGAGCAGACTCAACCCTCTCCTGGTGAGCCGGTGACTCTTGTCCCCGACTCGGCTGCCATCGGCCAGGAAGTGGACACTGTCTGTGAGACGTCTACATCCGGCATGTTTCCTCTCGATGGTCCGGCTGCCTTCGCCGAGTCCGATAAACTGTCGTTTCTGGCCGACATCGTCAACGCCAATCCGGATCGACATGGCAACTCTGTGCTGTGCGTTATGCAGGTCCAAACTACGGGAGACCAGCCGTTTGTCCGAGTAGAGCGTGGTGCGGATTTTGCAGACAACCTGCACGAAGATTTCTTCCCTCGAACATTTCCGAAGCTTTTCCCGTGGGAAGGGCGGCCCGAAATCGAAGTGCGACTCGAGTCACAGACGACAAGGCGGCCCTGCCGACCGTCGTCCGAATCACTCGCTTAATTACTGGGCCAAATACGTATTGCAACGGCATGGAGGCCGGTTCGCCACCCATCCTGTCTTTTGTTTCTTAGTATTCAACACCCTCCTCCGCTCCTCCAACCGCCGCATCAGCATGGTTCGTGTCGCTAAAGATTCCTTCAACAGGTTTGAGCAGGCCTATGCGAACTTGACCGAGGACCGACTGAAGAGGGCCGAGGCGGAGATGCGGGAGACAAGGACTACGTCGGACCCCGACATATCGCTCTTGCTCCGCGAGCTGTCGATTTTGGTCATGCACAGCCGCTCTCCAACGAATCCCGTCTGCTTATGCGGAGGAAGATCCAAGCTCTGGACATTTGGGCCGGTATGCCTGCAATCTGGATTACCATCAGTCCCAACGACATAAATAATCCGGTAAAGATGAAGCTTGCCATTCATAGGCTCCATGATTATGAGTCTGCAAAGGAGCTTTTGGCCGATCTCCGTGAAAGGTACGACAGAATCGCCCTCAGCACCATGGATCCGGTCAGCTCGGCCATCTTCTTCCACCGAGAAATATCTCTATTCTTTGACAAATACGTGAACACAGGCCAGGAATCGATCTTCGGGAAGATCAGCCACTACTACGCCACGGTGGAAACGAACGAGCGAGGCAGCCTCCACTTGCATGGACTCCTCTGGCTGGACGGCAACATGCGGTTACCGAACCTGATGGACGACATGGCCAATCCGCGGAAGAATCGTATCGTGCCCAGGTGATCCGATACATAGACTCCGTCTTTCATGAGTGCCTAGATGAAGATGCCGGAAAAGCCGTGCGACAATAGAGGAAGCCCATCGAACCCGTGGAGGAGGTCATGAGGAGCACCTTGGCTCTCACTTCGGCCTTTGAAGACGAATCCAATTTCATCGCGTACTGTTGCCAAGTGCACTCCCACATACACCTGCCTTAAGTATTCTCTAAAGGGGTCATCGAACAGGGGGCAGATCAACAGAGACGGACAGCCTGCCGCTTCAAGGCACCGTGGAAGATCTTCGAGGAGACAGGGTTCACAGAGGATGGCTTGCTTCAGATCCGGCGCAACCATCCACTCGTCAACCGGTACAACAAGTCGTTGGCGGTCGGCCTTCGTCATAATCACGACGTCTCGATGATCTTGACCAAAACCAAGGGCCTGGCCATGGTGTACTACATCACGAACTACGCCACCAAACTGGATACGCCGATGTGGAAGCGCATTGCTCTCGCCACCGAGGTTGCCCGCCAACTCCGCGAAGCCGGTGGTGCGAGGTGTCGCGCGCCAGGTCCCACCCTGCCCGACGACAGGCAGCAGGCAGTTTTAAACAAGAGCCGTCAGTTCCTGATGAGAACGGCAAATCGGATCTTCTCCGAGCGACAACTCTCGGCCGTCGAGGTCTGTTACCACCTCCTTGGATATGACACCGACTTTACCAACGTGCCGCATTGGTCGTTCCTGAACTTGACGGCCCTCTACTGGACAATCTTTCGGCTATGGGCACATCTCCGCCACCAGGCCGGCGAGCTGACGGACGCTGAACAGCCCCCGGAGACCATCCCTCTGAGGCAAGGAGGGCGAACGCTTCTATGCTTAGATGCGTACGCCTACCGGGGCCATGTTCTACGGGACTTATGCCTGTATGACTACATGTCGATGATTCATTTGGTGCGTCGAAAGGGTCGGAGTGAAGATGAATCTCACATTTTCTCGATGGGCAGGATTCCGACTGTGACGGCTGGATGCAAAGCTTCGACGGCCCGACCAGTACGCCGTCCCGATCTTCCAAGGATACATCAGCGACGACCATGACGACGATCACCCAGTGTATATTAAGCGGTACTCTCTAACCCCCCGGCACCGTTTTGGCTCCGTCTGACGGCCTGTGCAGAAATTCTGTCCTACATTTGGCGTTATTCGTCCCTTGGGAAAACTTCATTTCTGAGAGCCAAGGCGATATAACCGACATATGGACGACGCATCGAGCGCGGCTTTGTCCCCGCCTCCGTTTCTACGTCTCCAACATTTGTCTTTTGAGAAAGTCTGCCGAGGACGCGCGTAAAGACGCGAAGCTCTGGGCCACTCGATCGGAGGTGACGACACAATTGACGTCGAGTACCCACTTGACGATGGCCGCTACGAAGAGGAGCCTCCAGCGATGGCCCATCGTCAGGCCTACAGAGCTCTACTCCAGATTTTGCGAAATGCCGTGCAAGATACAGACGCCACGAAAGACTCCCCCGTCCTTGGAGGTTTAATACGCGACCTGTGCGAAGAGAACCCGGCTGAAGAAGAACAGCCTTTTGTGCTACGTCAGGACGATCTATACCGGAATATACCCCATGATCAAGGTGACGCCTTGTGCCAATTTCAATCTCTCGAGACGATGTCCAAGCAGCGGCCAAAGCCCAACGACTATTGCATCTTCGGATGCTGGATGATATCGAGGCTGGTTCTCAGCGCACCGTACTGTCCGCGAATGGCACCGACATTGACGATACCTAGCTCGTTACGGCGATATGGAGTCCGCCGCTGCGCTCCCGGGTAGTGACCTCGATGAACAAGGCCCTCGGATGCTTGTCGACGTCAGTCCGGTCACTAGCTTCGTGGAGATGGGACGCACCACCGCCGCTAGCTTTACACTGAACTATCTACAGACCATGGCCCTTCAACTCGTTTGCGTATTTCTGGACAAGTATACTGCCGATCCGGACTCAGCTGGTCAGCATCTTCAATATACCGGCGGGCCGGGAGGCACAGGAAAGTCAAGGATTATCGATGCCCTGAAGGGCGTGTTCGCGGCGAGAGACCAGCCACATCTTCTGCAGATAACCGGCACATCAGGCAGTTCGGCGGCCCAGATTGGCGGCACGACGATCCACTCGGCCTGTGGGTTAGATTCCCATCGCGATCCAAACAAACCGCCTCCCCCCTTCTCGGAGGCGAAGAAATGGATATGGAAACTGAAGCTGGTACTCGTGATTGACGAGGTCAGTATGCTGGGAGGAGCCACTCTGCACAACGTCAGTCGTCACCTGCAGGCACTCCGTGACTGTCCGGACGAGCCGTTTGGTGGGATGCCTGTCGTTCTACTGATGGGAGACTTCTACCAGTTCGCCCCCGTGCGGGAAACAAGCCTCCTGATCAACAGACCGCCGGACCGAACACAGACCCCCCTGCGACAAGCCACCATCTCTCACCACAGCGGCTGCAGATTGTGGCATCTGTTCAAAACCGTGGTGCTCCTCGAAGACCAAGTCCGCGCACGCAACGATCCCCAACTCCGTGCACTCCTGGATCGAGTTCGTAACGGGCGCCAGACCCATGAAGATCTGAGCTTGCTCAATGCCAACATTGTAGGACGCTCGCAAATCACCTTCCACGATGGTTTGCGCGCTATAACGCCGCTGAACCGCACCCGGTGGGCCCTCAACATGGAAGCTGTTGTGGGCTGGGCGCGCTTCAACCAGCGGCATATCCGTATCTTTGTCTCGACTCACACCTGGCGTAGCGGCGCGCTTTCTCCAGACATCGTAGTGCGAACCATCGGACAAGGCGACGACTCTGCCTGCAAAGTCCCCGGCGTCTTCTTCTACGCCCAGGGCATGCCCGTGGTTGTGAACAAGAACATCTACACTGGCCTGAAGGTTGTGAATGGGGCCGACTTTACCGCCGTGGACGTGATAATCGATCCCAATCACCCGGGATACTGCTTGGCAGATGACGTGACCATCCACTTCGGGCCACCGCTCGGCATTCTTCTGCAGTCCGAGGAGACGAAAGCCTTGGCGATACCATCCCTCCCGGTCGGGACAGTGCTCATCAGACCCATGTCGCATACGCTCGATTCGACTAGCTCTCACTTCAAATTCTTGTCGGCAAGATGCACACGACGTGGATTACCCGTTGCGCCAGCGTTCGTCCTCACTGACTATAAATCTCAGGGTAAAACATTTGTAGAAGTACTCTTGGAGCTGCGTGGAAATCGTCTAACCAATGGCGAACCCTCCAAATGCGATTTCACGAGCCTCTATGTTCAACTGTCCAGGTGTACTACGCTCCATGGCATCAAACTCCTCAGTCCCGTGAGATACCAGGATTTTATTGACAATACGCTAGATCGAGCCATGCTTGATGGAATGCGCAGACTCACAAACTTGGCGGCGCAAACGAGACGGGCATATGAGGGTGGCGATTTAGAAAAGCAGTGACACTGGTCAATCAGATCGTTCATGTACGCCTTTTCGTGCGTGGAAGAGTCACACCTGATAAGGTGACCGGGCCGCACGCCAATCATCCGGATCTCGCTCCCCTCCCTTCCCAGGACGTAAGCGTTTTTGCTCCTCACAATAATTTACCCACCATTTCTCGAACGCCTGGCGGCTGTAAAGCCATCTCGGCGGCCCTTCTCCTTCCCCGAACAGGTCGAGGATATGGTCGCAGAACATCCACACTCCTTCAAGATGCTGCGGATAAAATGGCCTCCTGTCCTTGCGCGCGACCACGACGGTGCCAACTTGTGACTGCCATTCTGGAGGTGCAAACCTGGAGTCGGCATCAATATTGAGGGACGTAGCAATCTGGTTGTCGAGGTCTGCCTCGTTGACGGACTGAGTCCCCGTCCGATAGAGGACCAGCGGGACCTCGATGAGCGCTGGGACGGAGGGCACCGACTGCGAAAACATATCATGATTCACAGGGATTGTAGTGGCAGACCAGAGGGGAAACTTGCGTTTCTCGGCCTCGCATCGGACAATGACAGCTTCGACATGCCCCGACTTGCTGTGCGTTTCCCTCAAACCTGACGTACCCATCGGCGGCGAGGCATGCGTGGCCGGGGTGGGTTTTGCCGCTGGCGCTTGCTGGGGCGATGTCTCTGGCTCCGAATCGGTGTTGATGTTGTCCCACTTTGAGTAATCAATCGGAGGCATTGGGTCGATTCTTGACAAATTGTTACCCTTCACTGCATAATTCGCAACGGTTCGGACTCCTTCGACCTTCAAGATGATGGCTCCTGAAAAGGCTCAATTACGTCCTTACCCCGCCCTAAGCCTAACCTTATCGTGTTGTGGCGGGGTAAAACGGCGTCCAAGCAGCCACACTATCGGGAGCAAGCCTCATCTTTCCTTTCAACAGACTTGTCAGTGTCAAACCAAACCGAATGCTTCAGTCCCGTTCCTCAAGGCATTGGCGGACCCTGCAAGGGGCCGGTCTCCTGTTAGACTAGGGGGCGCCCGCATACAAACTTTGCGGTATCGGCGCTACGGCGCGCTACCAAGCCACACAGAGCCACATTTTGTTGTACGTTCAGCAAAATGTGTTGTACGGATAACTACCCCCAAAACAAAATATGGGTTAGTCGAGAAGCGTAAAAGATTACTATTATCTACCGGTAGGGGTTCGCCTGAAGTGGCTTTTGCTAGGTGAGCTCCTAAGCAGCGAAGACTTTCTCCAATAATCCAAGTAGAGAGGTAGCAGTTTATCACCCAAGCTCTGTAAAGCGAAGGGTTCAAACACATATAGTTATCTCTCTCTCGATTCAAACCACTTGGCAAGGTTGCTGTACTACAACAGTACGATATTAGTATTTTCCATGCATTGGAGCAAATTCAAGTTTCGACAATCGCGGGCTTCCCGGGACTCTCAGGCGTCTCGAGGCTGTCGCCCACCGTCACCCAGTCTGGTAGATATCCAAGTGAAAAGTGCAGGCGGACTATCAACTGCGTGCGAGAGGGAGAAAGAAGAAATCCAGGCGAAGAAAGCCCCTATCTCCATGGAGGACCGTATCGTGGAGCTGAGTCGAGAAATCGGAGGCATGCATCAAGAGATCGCCTACTTCAGGGCCCTTACAGATACCCTGCATCGATTGATGCCAGTAATGCACTTCCACGTCAATGGGATGAAATCTGTTTTGCGTGAAGCAAACAGCATGATTGATCAAGCCAACTCTCAATGGGAGGCAGAAAGCCACCAGCTCACGTATGGAAGGGCCAATGATGGAAGACATAGACCGCTGAGGCATGTTTAATGCGGGGTCTGATGGCGTCACGGGAGCGAAAGAGGAAGGGTATGGAGACAGTCCGGGAAGCCTTGGGTGGTGAACTCCACTTTGCTCCTCTCTAGATTCTTCAAAATGACTTAGAACTTGGACGCTTGAGGGCCAACGCACACCCTAAAATCATTTTTGACACTTCCATCGGAATCTACACCCTCGATTCGCCCTCGACGCGATGGCGCGCCGCGCTCAGAGCGTCGGAGGGTTGGACGAGGTGCCGATGGTGATCGACGGCGGCAAGAAAGGGTTGGCGCAGAGCATGCACCACCCCAATGCCGGCCAAGGAGCTTTCACAACGGCATCGCGCACTAATCCTGACCCTCCTGCGGACCGAGACCAGCTCGAGGAACACGTACGAGAAGCCCACCGACATATCGCCAGCCTGGTGCACGGGGAGACCTTCCAAGGCGTCTGGGAGGCCATCCAAAAGCTTTTACGCGCCGACCGCGAGGCGCACGCGCCACGTGGCCAAACTTCGGGTAAACTCACCACAACGAAAACAGAACTCTCGGCGACAGTCAGGGAAGCAGTCGAAGCAGCTATGGGAGGCAAGACCATGAAGAAGACTTGGGCGGAGATCGCAGCCGGCGCGCAGACTGCCCGCCAACCCCCGCCCCCCGCGGAGAAACCGGTCCCTGCTCGCTTCGACAGGGAATTGGTAGTCCGCGGCAGCGGCATCACCCAAGATCTCAAACAACGTCGCCCCCCCGGAGATAGCTCAGGCTGTCAATCGCGCTTTCGGCGCTACCGTTGCGATCGCGGCCCGAGTGCTTCGAAGCGGAGACACAGTCATTACCTTCGAGAAAGACGCTAGACAGTATCGCATGAAGACGGACTGGCTACGAGACGCCTTCGGACCGCAAGCGACGCTCTCTCAGGGCGGCTACACGCTGATTTTTAAAGGAGTTCCTATCAAGGCACTACAAGATCGAGATAACAAGACCGCGACGAAGGCGATTGCGGCGGAGAATAAGGTCGAAGTCATCCGCCTTAGAGCGCGTAGAGCAAAGGGCGCCGGAGCGACGAAGACGACCCTCATACTCACAGTAGACGGGGTAAATGCGGCGAACAAGATTTGCGATCAAGGACTGCTTCTTCAGTTCGAACTTTTCAATTCAGAACCCTACGACGACTCGCTCGACCCAAAACAGTGCTTCCGCTGCTACCAGATGGGTCACCTTGCCCGCTACTGCGAAGCGAAGCCGACGTGTGGACGGTGCGGCACTGACCCGCACCCAGACAACGAGTGCCCGGCCGCCCTAGGCCAATTTCCCCATAAGTGTCCCCTTTGCGGCGGCGCACACCCAGCGTGGGACCGCCGCTGCAATAAGACTAAAGAGCACTGGGACAGAGCGCGTAAGGCCTACGCCTTTAGAGCGAGGCGGTTCGAAAGCCGCGACCGCGACCCGACGCCGCGTCCTTGGCCACCCGAGCTCGACAAACCAGCTGACGACTCGCTACTGCCGCCACACCCCAAACGACCTCGACCAGCCTCAGCCGGACCGGGCCACCCCTCGACCAAGACCGCACGCGTGCGGGGCCAATCGGCACTCGCGGCTTCTACGGTTAGCCAGCGGGCCGCTGATACGATAAGAGTGTCTCAAGAGAGTGTCGCCGACGTCCCTATGGATAATGCTGAATGTTAATTACAGTGATGTATTGGAATACGAACCGGCAACCCACTCTCACGAAGCTTGCGCTCCGAGCCCCGCACGCCGCCGACGTCATTGCAATCCAAGAGCCGGCTAAGAAGGCTAAGACTGGCCATCCTATATGCCCGAGCAGGAGCAGCTACCGTCTTGTCTTTACTGGCGGCCGCGCGGCGCTCTATGTCCACAAACGGCACGACACCGGGTCGTGGACCAGCGATGGAGGCGTCGATTGGTGCAGCGTCACCTTCACTAAGTCCAACACCACAATCTTCTCCGTCTACTCCCCGATCTATGCTAGGGAGCCTAATCAGAGCCCGCTACCCGCTCGCATCGTGCACGCCGTGCTGTAGAGCCGCCTTCGTCGGAGACTTCAACATCCATCACCCGCTCTGGGATATCCATAACCGAACGTCGAACAACTGCGACGACATACTAGAGCTGGCGAGCCGATGGAACCTTGCGCTCGCTACGCCCGAGGGCGAAATCACTCGTCTTGGTGGACCGGGTAAGCGTGACAGCACGATAGACCTCGCCTGGGTCTCGCGGGACCTCTCAGCGACGTACCTCGGCAGAGCAGATATCACAGGCTCAGACCACATCCCGCAACTCCTACAACTCGACGTTGGACCGCCTCCGCCCCGCTTACGGCTCCGAGGACTTCCAATAAACTGGCGCCTACTTGAACCCAAACGCGCCCGCGCGGAGGCGACGACGCGTTTCAGGCCCTCGATTGCCCCTTCGACACCGCAATCCCCTAAAGAAATTGACGATTATGCCGACTGGCTGGTCAACCAACTGACAGAAATCGCCTATCGCGCTGCGCCCAAGGTCCGCGGTCGAGCTGATGGAGGCAGGGAAGAGTGGTGGACCCGCGACGTTGAAAACGCCACCCGGGCGGCTAAGCAGGCCGAGAGGCTCCAGGACCAGGAACCCGGCCCAATGGGAAGCGCGACGCGACGCCGTAGCGGCACAGGATCGAGCCGTACATGAGGCGTGCCGGAGCGCATGGAGGAGACATCTCCACGACGCCTCAAAGACGAAAGGCATCTGGGTCTTGGAGCGATGGGCCAGACTTAGAAGCACCCAACCGCCTGCACCATTACGCCTCCCCGACCTCTCACGAGTAGAAGGCGACCCGACCCCAGCTCGCACGCGCGCCGACAAAACCAGAGTGTTGGCCGAAAGATTCTTCCCGACACCCTCGGCCGCCCATCCCGACGCTACCGGGGGCCCCGCCCGCGAGCCGGTTACGATCAGCAACCACTTCTCCCTCGAGGAGGTCGAGCAGGTCATCAAACGGACGGCACCATGGAAGGCGGCGGGGGAAGATGGTCTGCCCCTGGGGTTAATAAAAGCCTGCGGTAAAACAGTCGCTATCTCTATCCTTACATTGCTAAACTCTAGCTGCGCCCTCGGGTATTTCCCAGAGCGCTTTCGCCGCGCAGACGTGGTGGTTATCCCCAAACCCAACAAGACCCAGACTCAACTTAACCTAGCAGGCAGCTGGCGCCCAATCTCCTCCTCAGCACGGTGGGCAAGATTATAGAGGCGACGATCGCACGGCGGCTCGCCGATACTGCGGAGACGCATCTACTGCTCCTCGAGGGACAGATGGGCAATCGGCTAGACGTTCTACGGAAGCAGCAGTCCATATTGTCGCAGAACTGGCGCGCAAGGCGTGGGATCGAGGCGGTGTCGCGTCCTTTCTTCAACTCGATCTCAAGGGTGCTTTTGACAGGGTAGACCACACCTGCCTCCTCCAGGCTTTAAAAGGGAGAGGTATCCCGGAATGGCTCCTAGCCTGGATCCGGAGTTTCGTAAGCAACAGAACAGCTCGCCTACTCTTCGACGGCGACGCGTCGGACCCCTCAGCATACACGCAGGCGTCCCCCAAGGATCCCCGCTTTCCCCGATCCTCTTCCTCTTCTATATCGCCCCCCTTTACGACGCTCTCGAAGCAACGGCGGGAACCATACTAGTCGGCTTCGCGGATGACTCGAACATAATTGCCTTCGGCAGAACCACAGACGAAACCGCTGAAAGGCTCGAAGGAGCATGGACTGCATGCGAAGGCTGGGCGCGCGCTGTAGGGGCAGCGTTCGGACCGGCGAAAAGCGAATTGATGCATTTCACACGCGCCCACGCCCCGCCCGAGACATGCGTTCGCCTCGGCAACACCACGATAGCGCCGTCAGAGTCCTCCCGCTTCCTCGGAGTTTGGCTT